GGGTTTTACGTTAGTAAGGGCCGACAGAACACAAAAGCGAAGGAGGGGGAGTAGCTCTATTCATTAGGAATGCTATCCCCACCATGATTCAGTAGGGAGGTTCACATCCTTCTTCGTAAGAGAAGAAAAATGTAGGATAGATTTAGGTTACTGGGAACTGATGAAACTAAATCCCTGTATAGAAAAGTCCGGAATAATTGTGCCTCGACCCTCCGTAAGTCTAGAAAGTTGTACGAAGAAAAGATTGTTAGGGAATCCATAGAATGTCCGAAACGTTTGTATTCTTCCATAAACCAAAGGACAAAGAGAAGAGGAAATATTCCTGCTCTATGGGGAGACAGTACTGCCGCGTCACTAGTGGAGGACGACTTTGGTAAGGCTCAAGTGTTCTCAAACTACTTCAGCAATGTATACACCATAGATGTACCCTTCCCATCAACACATACAGATCCCCCACACACACTGGATAGCGTGACTATTAAAGAACTCGATGTCTTTGGTCTACTAAATAAGCTTGACATAGGTAAATCCACGGGGCCCGATGAATTACATCCTAGGCTACTGAAGGAATTATCTAACTTCGTTGCGAACCCTTTAAGTATATGCTTTAACCTATTCGTAACGCAGGGTCGTTTACCTAAAGATTGGAAAAACGCCATAGCAAGTCCTATCTTCAAAACAGGTACGAAACACAAACCTGAGAATTTCCGCCCCGTTAAAATAACTAGTTTGGTTGCTAAAATCTTAGAAAAGATTATTCGGAAGGAGCTTTTTAAGTATCTCGATAAAAACCGGATCCTTTCGGAGAAGCAGCACGGTTTCAGAATAGGTTACTCTTGTCTCATTAACTTATTAGTGGCTCCTGAAAGCTGGTGCGCTCTTAAGGATCAAAAGTTACCTGTAGACGTAGCCTTCATTGATTTCAGTAAAGCTTTTGACAAGGTTCCGCACAACCAGCTGTTATATAAGTTAAGAAATGTCGGGATTAGAGGCAATTTATTGATGTGGATAAAAGACTTCTTAGTTGGGCGTCAACAAAGATTAAGGGTGAACTCAAAGTTATCTAGCTGGGGAACTGTGCTTAGTGGAGTGCCCCAAGGTACAGTTTTGGGGCCAGTGCTATTCCTCTTGTATGTAAATGACCTTCCTCGTCTCCTATCATCATCGGTCTTGCTATATGCTGACGATGTCAAGATATGGAGAACGATACGATGTGAGAGTGATAGCTTAGAACTCCGAAATGACTTGAAGAAATTATCTGAATGGTCTCAGACCTGGCAGTTGCCGATAAATACTTCCAAGTGTGTTGTGATGCATATCGGTCAGCAAGGTACAGATACATACACGATAACACTGAGCTACCTATCGTCCGGACATATAATGACTTAGGAGTCATCGTTAGGCAAGACTTAAAGACTACTGCACACTGCCGTGCAATAGCCGTCAAAGGTTTTATAACGTTATGGTTAATACATAGGGCTTTTAGTCATGTCGACGCTAAAACGTTTTTGACTTTGTATACAGTGTTCGTACGTCCTAAACTTGAGTACTGCAAACAAGCAGCCAGCTCCTGCTTAAAAAAAGACAGTGAGCTTCTGGAAAAGGTTCAGAGAACGGCGACTAAGCTGGTTCCCGGAATAGCGAAGCCTCCGTATGAAGCTCGACTGGCCAAGCTGAACCTTCTTCCCTTGTCATATCGCAGAACTAGAGGCGACTTGATTACAGTTTTCAAATTGCTTAGTACCAAATTTGCACCTGATATGCCCTCATTTTTCTTGTCTTCCAAAACAGAGAATTTACGAGGACACTCCGGAAAAGTTCACAAGCCAAGAACAAATTACTTGTCAGCTGACTATCGACTTTCCCATCGAATCATCAACGAGTGGAACTCATTACCTCAGCACGTGGTTGGGGCTCCATCCGTCGATTCTTTCAAAAGAAAGTTGGATGAACTGAGGGACCATCATTGTCAGGACTAACACAGGCAATCGAGCCTCCTGTCCTTCCCAAACTGAAACTGAAATTGAACTTCCTTACTTAGTATTAGACCATCATCGATACCTTCAGGTAGGAACCTAGGTATATTTAACAATTCAAAGAGAAATATTACTAAATGGCAGTGAAATACTGGCACAAAGTGTAGAAGTCACACTACATTCCGTTCTACTATATTGCGTCTCTAATTTTTGGATGATATTTCTTAGGTTTGCGTCAGAAGTGAGCTTAAACAGATGTTTAGGGGAGTGCCTGTGACAATTTAAAACGCTATAGGTCGTTAAAAGTTCAATCCGTAAACACCTAGACTCTAATGTGTAAAGATTCTGTGATTTGACGCACCCCTCCTAAAATTTGGCTTCGAATCCCCGGAATGGCTCTCCTTGTGATATGTCCCAGTGTGTTGTTATCTTTTAGGAACAAAGAATGATAAAATTTATTGTCGTACTCTAAATACGGCTTAATAAAGCTTTAATGATTAGACAGAGCCTTTTCCTGCCAAGTTGTATACGTAATCTGCGAAGCGTCTCATATGGAATACTTTCCACTGTCCACCCCAAACTGAAACTGAATGCATTTGAAAACCAGTACATGCTATTTTCCATGACTTTAACAATGGACTTGTTTACGTATCACATAGATACTTCATAGTGCAATTTGTAAAGATCAGTTGCGATAACTAATTTTTTCCGTGGCTCCAAAACTGCTTTGAGAGATGAATGTTCCGTGCCCAGGAAGGATGTACATATTTTGTGACAGTTGATCTGACTCCAACATAAAAGTAGTAATGTGTAGTGGCACTGGTTCAAACCACAAAATCTTCAAAGTTGAACAAGAGATAACTGGGTAAATGTATATCCAACAATTAACACAGTAGGAAGATCAACAGTAAAGGTGCTAAGAATTACTAGTTGAATTCAATCGGATGACATCACTTAGCCTCACAGATCTGGTCATTCTGTATGACTTGTCTTTACTCACATTAAATATATCATTGTATACTTAGATTAAATGTGTTCTTTAGAATCTCCAGACATATAACTGATTTTACGATACGAGTCAGAATAAACAGTGATATGACTTCCACGTACGTTCTAATAGATTAGATGGTCACACCATGACAAATCTATGATTTCAGGATTACGTCTATTATTATAGCAGTACTAATAACCATCTACACTATAATTCTACAAATTTATATGTCATGAACATAAATCTTCCATTACTGCTGGGCTAACTCTGTTTGTGTGATAAAAAGAAGCTAATTTGGGGCTGGGTTGGGCGAATTTATTTCCGGAAGTTGTTTGTCCGAACATAAATAAGAACGAGAAGCGAAAAAGGAAGGAAAGCGATGTAGTGGACAAAAATATGTCGATTTGCCATGCTACTCATTAAAAGTGTTGGTACAGTCCGAAATAGATAATGCGTGGTGTGACAAATAGACAGCCATTGGATAAAGTAGTGAGAAACAGTCAAGCACACACAGATTAACACAAGAGGAGTTGCTGTAGAAATAAAATGCGATAAAGACGTGAATGTACGCTGAAGATCACAATTTTCTATAGAAACAGTAGTTATTACAAGAATGAAATAACTGGATGGTTACATGCTGTCTGGGTTATTACGGTTTATTTAATAGCGAGTATGAATCATATGTGTATTAGTCCACATTCTACACATACAGACAAAGACGCCTCAAATCAGGATTCCTCAATAAACTATCCTAAAACCTGCTTGCTTCCACATTCTGGATAAAACAAGCTCCTCGAATTTCTTTTGAGGTGATTTTGTTAATTTCAGTTGGCCTCTAGTAATGTAATAGAATTGATTTTAGCTGCATGGGAATTTCTCATCCGGGACAATAATTAAAGATAAACTGCCTCAAATCCAACCCATCACAATACCAATTTACGAACACTGAATTTCATATAACACATATAACCCAAGTGGCTAATCTTTTATTGTTTGGGCCTATTAGCCTCGATCAACTTGTGAAATAACGCAAATCACACAAGGAATGTTGTGTGCTATTCTTTACATTCTCCAAATTAATTTTGATATCGTAACTCAGAATATGTTTTGAATTACACCTATTGTGCATAAAAAACCATTTCGGAAAAGGACATTAAAACATTACATTTGCCTCAAAGATCCTTTTTAATGCAGAAAGCACGAAGTTCAAGAGACAACATTCATTTGGAAAAAATTAGGATTGGAGATTGATCCACAGACGGTAATAGTGCGCCCAAGACATATTTATTCGGTACTTTAATTTGTTGCCGAGGTTCAGATCGTGCTTTGTTGGTACGTTTATAGTATGCTATAAGTAGGTAGTATGGGTGCTACCAGGGATTCATTTTAGATGAGACACAATAATACGGTGGGCAAATTAGACTAGCTGCCTAATGTTACAGTGAAGTTTATCTTTATAAGTTAATTGGTTATGTTATTGCCTATTTGTTTTACATACTTCTGGGATCCAGGAGTCAACATTCGACCACAGTAAAAGTTCGCAATTCCAAGCAAACATTTTCCTCCCTCTCAATGTTCTGTGATACTGTCTTGTTCTAATGAATGCGTCGAAATTTCTTTTGTATAATCTAGCTGCTTAAGTATGTATGTTGTTTACAATCCTACGGTAAAACTTTCACTTAGCTAATCAGTATTAGTTCTGACAATTACTTCTTACTAACTCTTATGTATCTTTGTAAGGAACATACATTTTTAGGCCCTGTAAATCAAATTCATATTATGCGTAGATGTATTTGATGAGATTTATTATTCCGAGTCAATCATTGTCTATTTCATCTATATTCAAATAAACCAGACTTTCAAATTATATCTATTGAACACTGGTGATCTTATATTTAATGTTATATAAATCTATAAAACTGCGAGTTTAAAAAAAACATTTTAATGGTGAAATCACAATAACTCGACCCCACTTTCTTTCCTTTCGAATCTTTAAAAGTCCCTTATCACCAGATGTGGAATATGTAATAAAACATAGATAGAATAAGCGCCTCAACGTAATTCGGAGTATCAGAGTAGGGAGTGGTTGTCCAGTTGAATGTTTAGTTTATTGAGAGACATATCTATCGATACCTATTTCGCAACAATTCCCTCAGCAAGTTACATGAGATGTTCCTATAACCATCATTGATAGAATGGGAAACCATTTTAACCTGTCAAAGGTGTATTTAACATTCAGCTCTCTCACATCAGGCATTAATTCATCTGTTATTTTTTGTTTCACGATATAGTTCTTCGTCGAGAATATGTATAAATTGAGATTCTAGGAATAAGAATGGAAATAATTAAGTTAAAACAAAAATCGGGTTTTGATATGCTTATTCTGAATTACCTTCATTAAAACGAAAGTACAGAAGTAATGTCTAGTGTTCAAAGGATAAAAAACATTGATTATAAGCTTATAAACTTTTGGCTTTATTATAATGACAATTTGGATTACTTTCAAACTTTATTCATCAGTAATCGCTGAGCAAAGCTACTCCATTTCATCTAACTACATTCAGTTAATGCAATCCTGAACTCTAAATTGCATACAGTTCTCTTTAAATTCCTCCGGAAATTAGTACAGCTACTGATTTTTCCACTAGCTTTCCTTTGTAAGTGACAGCCCTAGCTACTCCGAACCTAATTCTTGTAAAAATATCTATTTAGTAAAAATCAAAGAAGACAAATTTACATTCCGATTAGTCGAATTACACATAGATTTCATACACTGACTTTTAACTAAAAAAGTGTCAAACTGGATGAATATCACTTGAAGGAGAAGTAATGAACTTATTTATATAATGACAGTTCGCTGAAAGTCAATCGAAGAAAATTAATTATAAACCTATCTAATCTTACAATTGGTTTCTTCCTAGTATGTTGTGTTTTGGGGTTCAACATCCTTAACAATAAATCAAGTTTATTGTTTGTCTTTAAAAATGCCACAAATATCAAAGTACATCTTTGTAATAGCGTTTAAATCTTATTCCTTGTCTTTTTTGAGATTTCCCTCTTTGGTCTTGAGAGAAAGCGTAAAATAATTTTTACATTCTTAATGATCATTAGCATCCAGAAGTTCTCCCATGAAAAAATAAAGACAAAAGCGTTAATAGATAAATATGTTTTATTTCATAGGTTCCCAGCAACTGTAAGCAACCAACTCTATATTTACAGTCATTTATAACCAAATGAATAACTCCTTCAAAGTGGGAGCAACCTCTTGAATATCAACAGTGCAAGTGAGTAAATTTACAACAGTCCAATAACCAAAGCAATTATTTTCTATATTTATTGCTAAGTGAATAATGCTTAGATATGTCATCTATTTATTTCTGTATTTTGGTTACGCCAATGTTTCTGTATGAACTTACAGTTCTAGTGCTGTTAAGTTCCAGACACCTAAGATTCAGTTTTGGTGTCGTATTTCTTAATATTTGGGTCTTCAGAAATTTCTTATACATAAAACGGTATTCGAGGGTGATTCAGATCATCAAAATTGTTTATTGCTTATTTCTTCAAAAGATAGTATAGTTTCAAGTTAGTTGATAATCTTTTTACATCAAAATCGTACACTGATAAATCTCACACAATTCACTCTGCAAATATTTTCTTGTTGGTTAAACGTTTAATAATAATAACTATATATTCAGCATTTATAAACTAGTTTAGTTTTATTTTATATAATGTAGTATTTCGCGATACAAAAGCTGCATAAATAGTTTTTTTTATGAGCGGGATATTTCTTATTCATACTCATATACGATTCGTCGTAAAGATAGTTATTTTTAACGTGCGTGATTCAATAATCACTATTGAGAATATTATTTACTGTATTATTGTAAAATATAGTTATCTGATATTTAAATATATCTTTAGGTGCAAATGATTCTTGACTTATTTGTTTTTTTTCTTTGTGTTTCATTTAACAGTCAATAATATACTACCCACACTACTTATATTAGTTGTAGTTATTATGGTTATGTTTGATTTGAAGGGTTAGGCATTGTATTTTCTTCTCATTAGTTAGAATATATTCTACTCTCAGTTCTATCACACCGATTTCCACTAGGAATTTTATCTTGTAGCAGTCGCTTAGTAGCTAAATCTCTTTACCTTCAACCGTTCGATCTTGAGCTTAAGTCGGACACATTCACCTTGATTTCATAGTTCAGGCTGTATCACTGATCATCACGCAAATAGCGCGACTCAAAGTTACAGTTCATAAACTTATTGTTGCTCAAATAGCTGAATTTTTTCTTTCAAGAACCTTTTTTTCTCTCACTAAATCTGTATTCAGTTTTCATGCATGTCACAGGTTTTAACTTTATACCAGCTACCTGGATAGCAGTCAGTATTTTTCATAAAATAAGTTTGATAGTTTAGTATTTAGACTATTACAGGATTATCGATTAACTTTTATTAACAGTCAATTATTTTAATTTATTTCCCTTGTTATACCTACCATTCTTTGATTTGTATGCTTTTTTAGTATACTATATTGAACTTGACAATAAGGCGATTGAAATTGTTGGAAAGTAGCTTCTTTGCAAATGCTGGATTTCCATGGGAAGCACTATTTCCGTCACACCCATGTACATTCTACAGCAAAACTTCTCACCCGGACTTTGTATTTGTTACTTTTAGTCTTAGTGCTCTCCAATCGACATGGCTAGTTTATTAAGACTTAGAAAAATAAGTATGTCTGTCAAAACGGCTTGATAGAGTGATATAAGTTTGGAAGTCCAACTATCATATCTAGGTAGCGGATACAGCCGAATCATGTCGCGGCATGTAACATCAATCCAGTCTGTTTTAAAGTATTGATTTTATATACAATATTTTTAAAATCTGGTCAATGTGGAAGGTTGTTTTTTAAGGTATCTATTTTTCTAGTAGAAAATTTTATTCCATCAACATATGAGATAATATTTTATGCTATTTTTATGTGTGACTTGGGGGTATTTAACGTGTGTCATCCTGATGCTATTTTGATAAAGATTAAATAAAGGAAGGGAAATTTTATTTTATGCACTTCAGAAGCTGTTTAGTGGAAGATTAGTACATATTAGCACATCTAGACTCTTTGAATGGGCTTATGACACCCAGGGTACCAAGTAATTCATGATATTATCTGTGGGTACGAAGAAAAGGTGATTTAAATCGTAATATTTTTCATTCCCTCCACCTATATAAATAACAATAAAGCTTTACCGACACTGTCGGGACAATTTTTGTTTGGTAGTTTGCAATTATATTTTTCCTTTTTTTAATTTGTGTCCACTACTTTTCATTATCTTTATGTTCCATTTTCCCATTAGGTAATTACATTTTGCTACTTGTTGAAATATATTATAAGTAATTCATATGCGATATGTTGTTTTCATAATACAGTATGAATTACTTTAAGTAACCAGACAACATATCACTATTTCGTCAGGACTCTGGCAAAATAAAGTAATATTATCGCTTTGAGAAACAATACAAGCATGTTCGCGGTGCGATTCTCTCTCCCCATGGGGAAATTGTTTCTTGACGTGTGGTCTGCACCAGCACCTAAAGTAATGATGAGTGAAGTATTCGAGCATGTTGACCACTTCACTTACCTTAGAAGTTTCATCAGCCTTGTTGGGTTAGAACCTGAAAAAATCTTAGCACGGATTCAGAAAGCTCAGTCAGCTTTTGCCAGCTTGCGTCACTTGTGGCGTGGGCGAGATATCCAACTAACAGCTAAAGGACAAGTTTACTGCGTAGCATTTCTTCGCCTCCTACTTTATGGCTGTGAAGAACGGTATTTAAAAGTCTGAGAAATGTGCAGGCTTCAGCGTTTTGATCATAGTCATCACAGTATTGCTAGCATTTCGTTAGATGACCATGTGAGCAATGTTCAGGTTTTTCACAGGGTAAACAAATTTAGGAAATTGGTTGATGAGTTTGTAAATCTTCGTCGTCTGAAGTTGTTAGGGCATGTGTTGCGCATGCGTAATCACCGGCTACCTTGATAAGTGATGTTTGCTGGTGTAGAAATTTGTTGGGATAAGGCTAGGGACTGCCAAAAAATATGTAATCATATCATGGAGTCGTTGATCTGAGTCACGATGGTGATGACAGACTACTCGACTGAGGTCCGCGTTATAAACGCGATTAACGGTTTGAGACTTTGAGTGACATCGTTCACATTGACCCAGATGCATTCATTACATGTATTCCTCTCGAACTCAAATTTCAGTATTGATTGGTACAATGTTTTTTGACTCCGTCTATTTGAAGCTTTTTATCAGCGTTCTCATAACCATTGTTACTACGTTATTTCAATCTTCTTGATTATTTATTTTCATCTTATCGTGCTGATGTCGTGTGGCATCTTGCTCTAAGACACATCTTTGGCGATCCTACTTTGATGGCAACTGGACTCAAATACTAGAGAAATCTCAGTTTATACTGAGTATATATTTTGGGTGATTAACTATGTAATTTATGTTTAAATACCAACTTTCAACCAATTCATTTGTGGATAGCAAACATCCCGTCATATGGTAAATTAAGTTTCACTGTTGTTACCAGGCAATGTATTTTCTTCCCCTTCAAATGCGCTGGTACGGCCAAGTATGGGAAGGGTCAATCCTCCCTCTCGAAATGCTCTCACACGGCCACGCATATACAGCCATTGCCAGGGAAGTACTGCTCACTGTCTTCTCTCGGAGGGAGCGTTGTTTACGAAATTGAGAGGACGAAAAGCGAATTTCCGGCATTTCGGCTGGGTTAAAGGACACGGAGGATCCACCTAGTGGATTCGAAAAACCGTGATTCCGAACCAATGGTGCACATGGGCTTCAAAATTGTGAGAGAATAAATGACTTATGAATCTATTTTTAGTCACTGACTACTTTGAACTGGATCTCCTAACGTTGCTCCACTGCCTTATGGATCAGACTTTTAAGTTGAAGACTTGAGGAGTGGCTCCGTAAGGAAACTACCTGTTTTGTTTTGTTTCTCGGACATTATCACAGCCTTTATACAAATCCCTGATAACTACTACTGGCCTTATTGTTGTGTGGCGCATATGTATTTGGTGCCTCGTTGTACCAATGTTTTTGTATGTAAATAAATAAATAAGGTCTCTTTTTATAGCTCTTCTTTAATCCTTTTGTTTACTTTATATTTCTGACAGTTCATCCCACGAGCATATTTCTTAAAAAAGTAGAATGCTTGCTTCCGGTGCAGGGACTGGAGGTAGTAGTACACCAGATTCAAATGAATTTGTTCGTGGTACTAGTCCCGAATTTACAGACGAATTAGGTGAACTTGTTCCAGTACTTGACTCAATACATTTAGTTCCATATAAAGTGAGTATATTAAAAAAAAATAAATTTCATTTAAAGTTTAAGTGTTTGATAATGTTAAACTTGTTTACGTGTAAATAAATATATCTGTATAAATTGGTCCCATTGAAAATCAGTGAGTTGTTAGGATAGTCCATAGGCAATATACCTGTCGTGCAACTATTTGAACAGTTCAATTCTGAGGAGGGTGTTTGTTCAGAGTTGTTTTTACACTTTATTATTGTAAACATGCACAACTTTTAGACGCAGTGCTTCCAGTTGAGTGATTTCACGGAGAGTTATATACCATAACAATATCACTAAATGCTAGTTCCTTTGAGCATTTGGCTGTGAAACATGACCTATGAAAGCAAAAGGCATACACAGATTGCAATTATTTGGTCGAATTCATCAAAACATTGTTTATGGTAGGATCAGGAAGTGAGTCATTCTGAGGTTAAATATGGCGCTTCCACTAGAAACGACAAGTCGATTTCTGGACCTTTATATTTAAATAGGTTTTCCATTTCTAAAATGTAATAAAAGCGAATAACAACTTTATTTAAACTATTTGTCATTCATTGTATTTATTTTCCACGGTTTATTTCTACACTTGTTATAGATTTTTCATGGCACTCTAGAACTATAATATTACTACAATTAAAATGTGTCGTAATTATAATTAATGTTACTTACTTACACCTGTTACCCCTCGTGGAGAAGTACAGACCACCCGCAAGCGTTCTCCATCGAACTCTGTCCTGGGCTATCCTTTCCAGTTGTTTCCAGTAGCTATTCATTCTTTGGATATTCATTGCTAAGGAGTCCCGTAATGGGACGAAACGGCCGTTCGGTGCTCCCAGATTTTCAATGATGGTATAACATAAATCGATTGATGATCTCAATCAAATACTATTACTACTTTAACTCCTTTACTTAACCTCCTTTGAATTTAATCTCTAACTTTGCTGACATGGTATAGGAACCTCGCGTAGTACTTACTTCGTATTATTTATTTCTTATCTTATATATGACTGATTGGTTGATCGACAATTATCTTTTCTACGGAATAACTAAGTTTTCAAATTTCTTATTTCATGATTTTGTTTTATTGAGGATTAAAAGCTTGTTTTATAAAATTGTGTGTATTGATTAATATCAATCATTATAAGAATATAGTATTTCTCCGAATTCTACATCATTTGAACAGGATAAACACACACACGCAATGACCCTTAAAAATCTAATAGTTACTGAACAATCTTTCAACTTTAGTGTCTATTAGTGAAATACATTGTGAATTCAACTGAAATTATCGATATATGTGGCTTTGATTTCTAAATCAACTGGACTAGATCCTATCGTAGTTATTTTACTGATCAAAATATAGAACGACTGAATTTCTGAGGTTGTCAACAATCGAAAACTTACCTTGTAACAAACTGCATGTATTGATCTTTAGTTGGATATGTAATTATCACCATCGTATTTTATCTACAATCACCGAGAGATGTTCACCACCACCATAAACAACAAGTTTGATATTGCACGTTTTATTTTTGCGCAGTTTGTATGACTCATATATTTATATATATAGAAGGGATGTGTACTTTTATCATGTTTTTATTTGTTCGTTTTGCATGTTCGTTCTCATTTTCTCACATATTGTTGGTTATGTTAGTACTGACTGATTTGCAATATGCTTTACACTTATTATTATTATTATTTGATAAGAATGATACGTTCACAGATGACAATTGTTATGTTTGTTGCCATCATTTTCGTCGTCATCGTTGCTGCTGCTGTTGGTAATGGTCATAGTTATCGTGGTGCCACTTAAGCCTATCTTATCCATATTTGATATGCCTGTTGGTATGAATGAAAGTAGAATTAGAATTGAAAAGATTACTAGTAGAAAGAAAAAAGCTGTTGATTTGTAGGTTTCTTTTACTTCAAGTGATATATGTGAATGTCAGTTCATGTACACTCTAATTCCTTCTTTTATTTAATGTTCATTATAATTTTTGGAGATGTTTAAATCGTGCCCCTCCTCAAAAAAATGCTAATTTGTTACTCGTCATTCTGTCTTTTTCATCTTGGTAAGTTTTTAATTTTGTTCACGCAAATCCTTTATACCTGGTATTTTTTATTCTAATCGCAAACACAGACTCGTTTTTCTCTTGTCTGTTCTTCTCTGTCTTAGTATGATAATTTTTTGTCCTGCTCTTAGATTCATTGTAAATTTATTTATTTGCGATTATTCCTTACTTAAGTTTCAACAAGTCTATAGAAGCCAGTGTAGCGCACTGAATTGCGAAGATCTGAAAGAGGTGGAAACCACGTAACTGGGCAGCACCATCGACAAATACGGAAGATCTGATACAGTTGTCAAGGCACGAATTAACAAAGCAAGGTCATGATTCATACAGCTAAAAAGTACCTGAAAATTGAAGAACTGTCATTCGACACCAATGTCGGAATGTTCAACATAAATGTTAAAAACAGTTCTATTGTACGGAGTTACAACTAAGAGGACTGCCATAATCCTCACTAAAAAGCTACAGATATTTATAAACATTTCTGTATACAAGATACTTCAGATCCTTCGAGCGGAGATCATCAGCAATAATCGACTGTGGTGGAGAACAAACTAAATGCCAATTGAGGTGAAAATTAGGAAAAGCCTCCGAAGGTGGACAACCATTAAACTGTATTGCGAGGCAAGCCCTAATTCGGATTGATCAAGGTAAAAGGAAAAGATGCGCACTAAATAACACGTGGCGCAGGGAGCTGAGGTCAGATATAATGGCGATGAGTGGTAATCGGTAGAAGCTGGAGAGAAGAACCTAGTTGGTTGAAGGTCTCCGGTCGATGGCCTGTGCCCCATGAGGGGTAACAGGCTTAAGTAAGCAAATAATTTTTTACGGAAAAGCTTAGCTTTTGAACTACCCGGAACCACGGTCAAAATGAAGGGGATTGGTGTATTGGCTTTATTGAATTTGGTGCTATTCATTTCTAAGCTCATGCACGAGCTATAGTAATGGTATCAAATTATAACACAAATAAGTTAATACCTACTCTCCTCTATTCACAAATATTATTTTGAACGGAAGATAACTTTAATCTCAACCCAACCTTTATAGTGTTGTATCGAAGTTCTTTAAGGTGAATATTTACGTTTTTACAGGGTTTAACCATTCGATAATTCAAACACTCCATGTATATTCAAAAGCATTTTGTATTTACATTGAAACCTAACCTAGAAGTATCGGTCTTAATTTTTGTTTCTATCTTCTAGTTTTTTTCGCGACAAACTTCTTTTCAGGTTGTACAATTATATATCCAAGTGAATAATCCCAAAAGTGGTTAGGTTTAAGATAAAATATATCGTTTATAATTATAGCGTGTAAATTTAAGACGGTAAAATAAAATAAAATTTTTAATAATGGGATAACTAATATAAAGTGTTGACTTAATTACATTTATACGTTAAATGAAATCATGAGTTAATTGGTGAGAATAAATATGATTAACATGATATGAGAAAGATTATCATGTAATTACAAATGAGAAATTACTTAATATATAGAATAATGTGAATTAGATACGAATTAAGAGATAGAGTTGGATGCTGAAGAAATTTCTCAAAAATATTGACAGCTATTCATTCATATTATCTATGTTTTAATATGATAATAGTTTTCTAGCGACCTACCAATTTATCAATTGGTGCATAATCAGATAGGCCCTGGGTTCGAATCTCGCGGGGGACGGGATCGTGGATGCGCACTGCTGAGGAGTCCCATACTAAGACGAAACGGCTGTCCATTGCTTCCAGGTTTTCCATGGTGGTCTAGCTTCAACTGACTCATGATTCCAACTATTGAAGTATAATCAGATTGTTGAAAATGTTTCACACTAAATATTTATCATATTATTTTAATACATTTTTACCTTTAGTTACTTTTAAAAAAAGTAAAATAGGTTAATTAAGATATTAATAGTGATAATCATTGTTCAAAAATCTAATCACACTTACCTTGTTACTTTCTAATGGTTAATCATAATGTGTTCGATTCCAGTTGGAATGTATCATATGTTGTAGGTGGTTAATTATAGTAGTTCAGAAGTTTTGGTAATATGGAGTCGTCGATTAGTTTGTATTCAGCAGTTTCTGGAATGGATGTTTCAACTGTTTTTGTTTGAGAAATATCGATTTCTCTTTCTTATTAACTTTTTAGAAGTTTAATAAATTGATAGAGGTTTTAAACACATGCATTTACATGTTATTTGGACAATTAAATCTAGCTTACTAGAGTGATCTTAATAATATTAACTAATTAAAAGATTAGCTACATTTTCTGTCACAATAATTCATAGACAAATAAGCTTAGTAAATAACTATTATTCGATGTTGTAAGCATTTCGCTTTCAATTTTCCAGTCTTTCCTTTACATATAAATTTACTTAAGACATATAAGTTGTATCTCTAGACATCACACTATTTTTTCCTCCAGTTACGTATGCGTATTAATTACTGACATCTGAGAAGGGATCATAGTGATATTGATCGATTCAATGATATTCATATTTATTGTTTTTACTGCATTACATTTGGTGTATATTATTCAACGGCTTTTATTTAGTTTGTTTACTGTGACTTTTTCGTAAGATGTACCAATGGTGGTGTTGTTTCTATATAATAGTTCAGATAGATGTTGCACTTGATCATACTGTATTCTCTAAGGTGGATAGTTAAATTGTGTAGTTATCGATTATTCTTAACAATGTTAACTAAGTAGTATCTTCCACATAGGTTTGATATAGTTTTTAATTCATTTTTATTTCAAACTATGAATGTTGCTTCAATTTCACGTACATGTAATGTGTTTACTTTTTAACGTTAAATGTTTTTGACAGTATTTACTTTCTATTCAACTTAACAATTGATATTTAGTAATGTCATTAACCTGCAATTATTCATACTGATCATTAGTATTATATATATATATATATAACTCGGTTCATGTGTTATGTTGTTATTTTTGTCTTTTAGAAAAGTTCCCTAGTTGGTTCCTCCTCTCCTTTTGATCCTAAAAAAGTTAAAGTTACTGTTCAGCGTCCTGGTGACCAAAAAGCCTATCAATGTGGACCACATCTTAGAAAAACCAAGAAAACAGACTCAGTAAGTTTATTTTAATTCTTTATTTAAAAAGTTTGTTTTCCCCTTTTTTGTTTAGTTAATTCGTGTTTTTGTTGATTATTCAAGCCCTGGTGCGGCCAAGTATGGGAAGGGTCAATCCTCCCTCTCGAAATGCTCTCACACGGCCACGCATATACAGCCATTGCCAGGGAAGTACTGCTCACTGTCTTCTCTCGGAGGGAGCGTTGTTTACGAAATTGAGAGGACGAAAAGCGAATTTCCGGCATTTCGGCTGGGTTAAAGGACACGGAGGATCCACCTAGTGGATTCGAAAAACCGTGATTCCGAACCAATGGTGCACATGGGCTTCAAAATTGTGAGAGAATAAATGACTTATGAATCTATTTTTAGTCACTGACTACTTTGAACTGGATCTCCTAACGTTGCTCCACTGCCTTATGGATCAGACTTTTAAGTTGAAGACTTGAGGAGTGGCTCCGTAAGGAAACTACCTGTTTTGTTTTGTTTCTCGGACATTATCACAGCCTTTATACAAATCCCTGATAACTACTACTGGCCTTATTGTTGTGTGGCGCATATGTATTTGGTGCCTCGTTGTACCAATGTTTTTGTATGTAAATAAATAAATAAGGTCTCTTTTTATAGCTTTTTATAGCAACTAAGATCTCGGTTGTTGCTCTTTGGTCCCTTTCTTTATTAATATTCGTTGTCATTCTTCCAGGCAGTATAGATGAATAGGATAATAATTAGGCTGGAAGATACAACTGCTCTCATAGTAACAATCTGGTTACACGGGCCCCAAACACAGTTCTTGAATCGGTTCCACTTTAGGATTATAGATTGTACCCTCATATCTTATCCAACAAGGAATCTTGTTAATTATTAAGTTGAATGGTATAATTTTTAATGAAAAAACGTAATCGCATTTTTAGTTTTTCTTCAGTTCTCGAATTAATTCGCACTTCGGTTCAAGGGATCCCTACCATACAGCCTTATGGTCTCGTGCCACGTTTAATCGATCCCGTTCACCTTGTTTATTTTTCATTGTTCTATCGTTTCGATGATATATATAGTATTTCTCAATGTAGTCAATGTAAAGAAAGGTACAACGAATAGCAATATTTCTCGACTAAATATAGCTTCAAATAATCATTCAGACATTATTCATACTACAAGTTACAGATGGTAATAAGTTAACAAATTGACGTTTTAATAAATGGGTGTTAATAATACGTTATACGAAGATTTGCTACATAGAATATCTTTCGACTGTTCTGAGTATATCTCCGGCGCTATGTCTCACAAACTCACGTTCCATATCTAACATTCTCTTCCGATCTATATATTGGGTCTGTGGAAACGCTTTTCATAATGAATCTTAATGAATATGAAGATCGAGCTAAGAATGATTGGCTCCTTCTTTAAGAAACTGTATAAATAAATTTCACGACAACCTAGACACAGTATAAGTGAGGTTACGTTTTCTCGCTACTTAGACTCAACTGTGAAAGTTTGTTTGTTTATTTGTTCTACCTAGATTTTCTCTGTATGACATCAGTTTATGAAATCACTAGCTATTGGCCTGAACCTTGTAGGTAGATGTAGACTATCTGGTTGAGGTCCGCGTCGCCTGGTGAAATGGCTCAAAACTGTACTCAATGGGGCTGGTGCATTTACTCTTTGTATTCCCTAAGTTTCTAAATCTTTTATAATTCTTCATTTTACTATTTAATATTTTTATCTGAAAACATATCTTCGAAGCTTAATCTTTTTCGCCACTAATATTATTACTACCTCTACTACTGTGAGATTTAACTTGATTATTTCATCTTGCTGTGATAATGGGATGTGGGAACTTGTAACGATGCATACCAAGTTTTACTTTGCGTATTACCAACTGGTTGATACATAGACTTAATGGTCTTTTATGGGAATATGTTTAAAGACTGTCTCAATCACCCAATTTGAAAAATATTCGATACAGTAATTTCTGTCGAATGAATTTATGGTTGATTTACGATTTTTATTGATACCATTCATTTTTACAGTAGTTTAGTGCCTACATCGGTTGATCGCTACTTTTTAGTATACTGGAAGTTAAAGTTAAACAACTAATCCCTTCTTAAAAATCTAGTTACAAACTTATTCCAGTAGTGTAGGAAATAAGTTCTTGACAGCTTTACTTAGATTTTTAATGCGAGATGATTTTTTGTTCTTAAATTTTCCATTTTCCTATGTTTTTATTTAGATAGAATTCAATTCATAAATAAGCTATAAAAATGAATATACGCCGGTTCAAACTATTTTAGTTTTAAGACGAGATGTTCAGCTCGTAGTATCACTGTGAGAATTAAAAAAACAACTAGCGTAGAATTCTTTGGTCTAGGAGGAGTTATAAATAATAATAATGACGATTGACTACTACATAGAATTTGTGTTATAGATTAAGTTATACCCCTTGGATAAATATGTATTCTAATGCCTGACTATCAAAATGTTAGTAGAGGAGAGTTCAGATTCATGATAAAATGGTTAAAAATGGGCCGTCTAATCTGCTTTTATGTATTTCAGTTCTTACATCCATTCACTTAGTGGAAACAATCCAGCTTTATTCATTAATACAGAAATTTTGCAGAAATTGAATTCGATATTAAATTCAAAAGTTCACGAAAATTATTCTCTATGCTATCATAGAAACTGACTCTCTACTCCTTTGACGACTAAATTTATGTAGCCCATTGTACCATTATAGTATATTTTCATGCGTATTGCAATGTATATTTTGATAGATGGTTAGTTTAATGCATTTTCAGAGTTATTCAGGGTTCCTCTTGTTCATAACTATGAAAGGGGAACCAGAGATGAGTTTAATAGTGTTGTTTAGGTGAGTCCTACTTTTTGTTGTGAAGTTTTACGTGATATTGGAAATTCTGTGAATTGCATTTATGGTCTTGAAAAACTGCTATCACTTAGAGCCTTAAATATTTAAATGTACTAACTTGGGGAAAAGCAGATTATCAATTTTATACTTCTACACAGTGATGGACATGAGTTAGTATGTATTCCACAATAGAATTTGATTTCCCCTTCAGTGTGTTATAATAAATGTTCCTGTTCATACTTTTGTGTGGATGACTATTTTTTATTAACCAAAATAAACCTGACAATACAATTACTGTGACCATTACTCTGACATTATAGGTTTGTTTTGACTGGTAAAAAGTGACAGACTTTAATATCCATCACTTAGTGCTAAAAGCAAATCAAAATTAATATCATAAATATTTTTTCGACACTGTCTAATCTATCCCTGAAACTATTCTATTCTAATTTAATGACAATTTCTATTTACTTGCTTATTTTATTGAAAATTTCAATAGAATTTATGTATGAATAAACTTTCATAAATCTGCATTATAAACAACAAAACTTTCTCAGTTCGGTTTGTTTTTACATATCATCTTCACATAATATTATATGCACATGGTTTTTTGGCGGAACAAGTAAATTCTAAGGTTAGCGAAACCATAATCTTGAATTGATTTAATCTTCATTTAATATTCTCACCTTTTTATTATTAACGCTCTATTATTTTTCTTTGTCGTACTTTCCTGTCATGTGATCCATTTTGCCTTCTTTCGCCCTCCCAAACGCTTACAAACATTTACACACAAAATGATCATAATGAATGTGAACTGACGAAACAAAACCTCATTATAATTTTAAAAATGCTTGTTTATTTGTATATGTATAAAAGGATGCTATCAAAGAAATTAATCGTTGTCGTGAGGAGAATACTACACGTTTAGACTTAACTAAAGGTCAATTACACTTTCTACCACCATCAATACGTGATGTCGCACATCATCTAAAAGAACTTTATCTGTATTGCAATAAATTAGTGAATTTGCCGAGTAAGCACTTGTTTTATGCGTGTGTGTATGTTAAACAATTTGTGTTACATAATTTTCATGTTTTTCTTTATTTGTCTGTTTTGTGAATAGTAATGATAATAACGGTGGAGTTTGCTTCATTGTATTAAATCTTCATGGCATTTTCATATTTGAAGATACATACGTTGTAATGTAATCGGTTGAATTCTATTATCACTGAGGTCTGGACGACCATGACATTAGCTGTTACTCCGTGGTCAGTTAATGTGGAAATTGCAGTCCTATAACAGGCATTAGCTTCCTCGACATTAAAATGATCCTCTTTCTGACAGCTGTAAGTAGCATCAAATGTAAGTTTAGGGCTTTCCGCTGATTCCGCATTATTGCATAACATAAAAACGAATTGCAGCCGTATATCAGTCCTCTTAACTTTTTACTTCAAACATGATGAATAGCAGATTTTAGTATCAGCATTAAGAACTAAATAATAACATGACACTAAGTACAACTCAGTGACTAATTAGTGTCACCTAAAGTTTGGTTATCTCAGTATCTTCATAAAAATTCTTAACCAATCGATATGTCTATAACCAACAACCTATAACTTTATGAACTGATGTAACGTTTTAGTCTAGCCGTTCATAGTCTTTTACTATCTACTAATATCCCTGGATACCATGAAAAGTCTGCTTCAAAAATGTATCGTCAAAGTTAAACCTCTGTGTTACTTAGTGATTACACCAGACCACTGATACTGCAATGACACATTTATGGTCTATTACTATCAATGATGCATATACGTTAATATTGGGTTGTAGAGTTTCATTGAAATGACATACCAATCTAAGTTATATAACTATTGAAAACCTGGAAGCACCGTTATTATTTATGCGTAAAACCGAAGATCTTGGGTTCCGTTCCTGGTTTCTAGATCATGAATTTGCACTATTGAGGAGCCCCATACTAGGATGAAATGGCTGTCTAGTACTCCCCGGTTTTCAGTGTTTTCCTAACCTAGATGAGCTTGTGGTTTTAATAATGCATATGCTTGTACCTTCTAAAATTAAAATACCTGTATATTTTGTATTATTTGTAATTTCGCACCTTTTTTCCACTAACCAGGTGTAGTGTTTTTCTACTGAAATATATGTACACGCAGATGTGTTCACGTTACATTTTGTACACATTTTTTGGGAATATAGGCGAATTGCTTTATTTATTGTTGATCTATCTGATGTGTTACATATGCTTGTGTTGTTTTCTTTCATTACTTTCCTTTCCACTTTTTTTGTTTTATATGTTTAGATGAAATTGGCACATTGTTTGCATTGGAAATTTTAATGGTACAAGAGAATTCATTAAGTGATCTACCAGAAACATTAGCACAATGTACACAATTACGTGTATTAGATATAAGACATAATAAATTATGTGAAATCCCTCAAGTTGTTTATAAACTACATAACTTAACACATTTATTTCTACGTTTCAATCGAATTCGTGTAGTGGATGAAGAAATTAAATATTTAACCGTAAGAAAAATCGAATTTAAAAAAAAGGCTTTTTATTGTTTGTTTTTTTTTTGTTCTTATTTGAACATATTTTTCATTTTCTCAAAAGTTTATTACAACATTTTAATGAAAGGTGGTATTTGATTTAAACATATATGAAAGGTCAGTAAGCAATCTTATTTGGATGTTAAAAGTAAATACTACATAAATATGATCTAGTGTATATAATTCGAACATAAGTCAGCATTAGAATCCATTGATCGCTGAATAGCAACCAATTTCATTTTTGTCAAATCCTTTGTTGTTGATCGATTTCTATCCATTAAGTCACAATGTAGTCACTAGTATAAGTGACTCGAAATCACATTCGTTATATTTATGTGTGATGTGGTTGGAAGTAGTCGACAGGAAGCTCTCTTTGACCTAAGCTTTGTGCTAATCGGCATTTGTCAGCAAAGAGTACTCTAAATCTTAAGGGAATCGATGTTATCTGTGCGACCCAAACATATGTGTGTCACTCAGCTTCCTAGTCTGAAGCGTTACCACCGAATTAGTTTTTTTTAAAAGTCATTTTAAAATCATCTTAATATTACTACTAATTCGGCTTTGTAACTTTTATCATTATTATCAATATGAGTTTCGATAATGCAATGAGAAGAGGAAGTTTATCAGAATTATGTGATATATTTGCGCAATACATTTCGAACAATCTGATCACACATATACTTGTTAAGATATTTCTATATCTAAATTAAGAGGTCAACTAGACAGTTAAAGGTAAGCCATAACAAAGAAAGAAAAATAAAGTACACAAAAATAAATGTGATTACCACTCTAGATAATAAATCAGTATTACCAGGGTAGGTTAAGTGTAAGGACAAATTGTTTCTGAACGCACAAAGGGGATTTCAATTTCCATATAGCCATGGCTTCAATAAGCCGTAGTATACGTCTTTGAAGGCTTTTGTATAACACTATAAATGCTGACTTGATTTCAAACTTATGACCAATCTCAATCAAATGTTTCGCAATGGAGGATGATGTCTGTGATCTTATTGGACCATTGGAATTCATTTGTTTCTGCAGCTACATGTAAATTGATAGACACAATGGGATGTGACACAATCGCTTTCGTGCTGTTTGGGCTTTTGGTGAAACATAGACTTTGCCTTTTCGATAATGATAAGTTGATAGTTGATTTAAGTCTCGGTTTCAACATGAGGCTATTTTTGTCGCCTCTGAATGGTAATGTAATCTAAACTCGTTTTTCGGGTGCCAGAAGCGTCATAGGTCTAGTCGTATTGCAACCCTTTCAGCGGTTTATGAACTTCAAACAATAACCATTATTCATTAACGTATCAGTTAAGAGCTTCGTCTCTACTTCAATATATATATATATATATATATATATGATCAGATTGTTCGAAATGTATTGCGCAAATATATCACATAATTCTGATAAACTACGTCTTCTCATTGCATTATCGGAATTTATCCAAGGGACTAATTGTTTTAAATTAATATGAATATTGTCATTATTATTATTATCGGCAGATCCGCACTGTAATTCTCTATGGCTAACTTGTTTATTGTTATTGATTTAGTCATTTCGATTATTTACATATTTTTGAAGTAACAAACGTAGCTAACCTAGATGTTTTGTATTAAAATTATCTCATGACTTCTATTACTATTATATTTATCATACCCTGGATAGACAGCCACATTTATTATACCATTCATTTTACAATATTTTAATTGATTGAATAGCTTTTGTAATCATTGGTTATTAACCAATCACAGTTCATTCTTGTTATGTGCGTATGTTTGTTTATCTATTAAGATTTCTGTTAGTTTGTATATGTTTATCTTTGATCATTTGGTCTATAACAATAAGACCCTAGATCATTTGGATGCATATTTTGTGACGATAATTTTCACGATTTAAAAAAAAAAAACACAACGATGATCGCACTCTTTCCGTAATAAAACGTATCATTTTCGTTATTACAATATTTCTTTTCGTTAAAATCATGATGTAAAATATCATTTATTCATAACATATTCATTAAGATTTTTTTTTGATTTTGCAAGTAAACTTAAAAAACTGATGATCAAGAACCACATGGTAGACAAAGTTAAAAGATAACTCATAGATCAACTAGAAAAGATTATACAACAAAGTTTAATTTCAGAAATCCTGTTTGAAGTGCTGAAGTTGACAGGTATAATGACAATAAGACTATTTGGTTTGCCTAAGATACGTGAAAACAACATTCTATTCATACCGGTCTTAGATAATGACTAGTTTTGGTTATCATACTACAACAATATGGTCAGTAAATAATTCTGGAGCCAATGAAATGTTAAAGCAATAGGTAATTGAAGATTATTTAAAATATATGATCATGTAAGATAGGATATCATATCGTTTTCAAGGATGCTTTCGTAGACAAGGAGCTCATATCAATAGAATATACTGCCGTTTTCTTCATATTAATGTTGCATAAATGATCGACCAACTTGAAATCTCTCGGTGAATCCTTCCACTAACGACTTCGAATATGGTTCAATAGTTTCGTTAGCCACATAGTTAGATTATAGGTAGGCAATTGACACGTGGATAAAATTGGTGGTAGAGGGCTGTTAGTTTTATGAATTTGAGGGGATCCTTTTAAATGCGAATATTCAGAACCCACAAGTTTCAAGTTACTGATCTCCCTTTTATTAAAGATAAAAGTGTCTAGCAGTTTCACTAAAATTGAATTTATTCTTCCCCTGAATTACTAATTCCTTAAAGTTAGGTATCAGTTATAAACTTGATTTCATCATGATGAATAGGTATGATCTTGCTTTCGTGAAAGCATACAATAAAATGATTTATTCAAAACTATTGACAAACACCCATCTTCCTCCATTGCCAAACAAAGTTGGACAAAGGTTATAAGACTAATCTTAGCTCAGCCTTTATGATTTTATGCAAAGGTTGTCTAGGGTGAATAGTTAGGCTTTTTGGGACATCTATATAGAATTTCAAACCCTTTTTGTTTGTTTGGAAACGATTTGTACTTGCACTCGACTGACGCTGTTATTATCGATTTATCACATTGTTTTTCTAATTATTTTGTTTTTCTCTCATACTACAATTTGTCTAGTTAACCTATATATATATATATATATATATATATATATATATATATATATATACCTAAGCAAATGAGTGTGTGATCAGATTGTTCAAATTGTGATGCGCTAATATACCACATAATTATTGTAAACTTGGTCTTCCCATTGATTTATCAAAATGAATTTTATTTCATTGTAAGAAAATGTATTTTTGTTACTTTGAATTGACACAAGAATCAGCTGCATTTTTATTCATTCGCTCTTTGGTTACGGTTCTTTTATATGACCAGTATTCAAGTTCAGTAATTCATTTGTGTTAAAAATCAAGGGAGTTAATCATCGAACTGCTGTTGCATTATGTTGATGGTGTAATTTATCTTTATTTTTTTGTAAAATTAAAATCAGAACTTTTATCAGTTTTTTCCTTATTATTTTGCTTTAAACAGAAGCTTCAAGTTCTTAGTTTACGAGAGAATAAAATCCATACACTCCCAGCTGATCCTGGTATCGGTCAATTGACCAATTTGATTACATTAGATGTTTCACATAATCATTTGGAGCAATTATCTGAAAGTGAGTTGATTTATTTATTCACATATATATTAATCATCATATATGCTTCATAGTTAATTACATCATCCTACTTATTGCATCACCTATATTCCTTACTTTTCTAAGACTGATATATCATGAATATGTTCAGGGCATAACCCAAAATTGTTTAATTAGGTGAAATTTGGCTGTCATCACATCGTGTGTATTTGATAATGTACTGTGATATATTCTATATATTGAAGCTCGCTAGAACTCTAACAGAACTTATTTGAAATTTGACAGAATCTGTTTAGATACTAACGTAATTGCTATTAATCTTACTAATTAATACACAGGATAAGGAGAATGATCAACACTTGGAACCACTTATTTTTATTGAATCATGAGTGTTTGGGTATTTGCGTGGTATACAAAATAACTTGACTTTTTTATTCAAGATTTTATAAATTCGTATAAGAAATTTCCAAGATTTTCGTTTCATACATCTCTTGAATTAGATTTTCGAATGTATTATCAGTCAACATAATGATATGCATACTGTTAAGTTGTTTTTGTAATTTCTAAACAAAATCTATCCTAAACTTCAACAGAATTACCTAATCTGTATGCTAAGATTATGTTCTAAATGACTGATGGGCAAATATTTTCGGTCAAGGACTACATGAACATAAATACCTAATTGTGGTGGGGCGGATATATAAAATTTCAGTATGTTTTTAAGCTAAGATGTCCATTTGTCTGCAGAAAATAGAATAGTCAGCAAGCTCAATTGTAGTGGATATATCATACTCTGACAGACATCTTTCTGATCAGATTTCAGTGAGACTGGTTGTTTACTAAAATGCTAGGAAATAAGAATGCATGGATTTCTCAGCGTGCTCAGATAGTAGATTGAGTTTGTTTTCTAGTGCTTTAACTTCTATACATAGTTTATGTCCAAAAATATCGCTATTCTGCGAATTCTTAATGAATTTATTCAGTATATGAAGAATGTCAACAGCAAATGGAAAATCAGAAAGCCACTCGATGATTTTTCATTATATTTAAAAACTCATCCGTTGTGTTTTTCATTTCGGGTGAATATCACAATTTCTTCTAAGGTTTCAGACCATATCCCAGAGAATAAAAATCAACTTAAGCAAATGTACAACGCATTTAATAAAATATTCTTTAAGATCTTTATCTGAAGTTCTGTGGTTATGTAAACTATTTTCATATTATTTCACTTTTTGGCTCCTCGTTAAATATATATATATATATATCTATATAGTTTTCTTGGCCTTTCTGTACCTCAATTCCCCCTGTTATATACAGTTTGTGTTTGTATGATAAAAGTTACATTGGTGCAGATTAATTATCTCAGAGTTTTGTTATATTTAGTATATGGTTAACAATAGAATACAGAGTCCACGTTTCACCCTATTTCGACTCACCATCTGAGTGTGTATTGTTCTTAGTGTTGGTGTTCACAGAAATACTTGGACCCACTTCTTATTTCTTCGAAAGTCAACGTGCTATCCATTAAGCTACTGCATTCGAGTGGGCACTAACTGGTCCAACGGATGTGAACATCAACATTGGGATTTAGGTACATAAATATGACGAGTTGCAAACAAAAAGTGCTCATCTTGGATTTCACTGCTAACCGAATACCAAATATTATTGAAGGTTATGTTGAGGCAATTCACTCGGAGCACACGTATGACGACAGAGGTTGACCAATTACTGTTCTGAATATCAACGATTAAAAGTTACAAACGCTTACTAACATCTAAGAGTTATTATATTTCATTTCTATTTACTTCATCGACTTCTATGAATTAGATTTATCTTCCATGGACTATTTCTTGTAACTCTGGAAAATATATAATAAGAGAAATACACACTAATTTAGTAATTCGACTCAAGTTCTTCTTACGTGATTTGTTGTTGTTTGTAACTTGATTTTATTTGTTCAAAGTGAAGTCGATGAATCAAGGTGTGAATCTGCACTCCCAATTATTATTATTATTACTATTAATATTATCATTATTATTATTATTATTATTATTATTATTATTATTAATTTTATTATTATTATTCGAGTACATGTAGTTTGTACACTTTGATCAAAGTATAATTCACCATATCGCCATACAGATAATCAACTCTATGCAAATTTTAGTCAACTATAAATAAAAGATCCTGTATAAATATGTATTAATTAAAATACTATTTAAGTGATACAGATTAATGTTTATGTGTATTAAACAATCATTATCAATAATGTTTTTCCATTACTGTAATATAAAATATTTATTAAATTATAAATTATAATACATCTAGCCTATGTACTCCATATATGCTGATTACATTTAAATAGGAAGTTACTTTCATTAAAATTTATTTTTTGGGAATTTATAATTTAAATTTAGTGGATAAGGTAACAATAAAGGGATATTCTTGAGTAGCAGCTAAAAAATATGATAACTATTCAGATCTCCTTGTATTTCTCATGTGATCTAATCCCATTCAATTAGTGATAGATGTAATTCTTAAAGAAAATTATTGTCTATATTGTGTTATTTTAAATATGTATGCTCATTTCGTCTCAATATTGTTTTTTGTTCTCTCTGTCTCTTTTCTTCTTACATAAAATGAAGAAATTGGTCATTGTCAAAAATTGTGCACATTAAGCTTACAACATAATGAACTACGTTCGCTACCGAATACAATTGGTGATTTAAAAATGTTAGAAAATATTGGCTTGAAGTTAGTTTTAGTTATTATGAAATATGTTTGCATTTCTCTTTCTATAGTTTATTTATATGTGATTAATTGTCAAATTAGTTTTTCTGTTTCCTTGGTTAACATTCACTTGTTTCGAAAAAAATCGTGTTTATGCTTACATTTTTAATAGTTTTACAATATTGTTCCAGAAATATTTGTCCAAAAATTAATAATTCATTGTTTTTCAAATGATATTTGAATTTCATTATTGTCGATGGTCGTCTGTTCAAGGTTGAACAGTGTTGAACAAATATGTTTCCTTTCTAAAGAGCTGTTTCTACTACTTAGCTACAGCAGGAATGCCGTTGCATAAAAAAATTATCAAATCTTTTGTATTTAAGATACTGACATGAATCTCTGATAATTATTTACTGGATTATAGCATTAAAACTGTCACTTTATAAATGACTTAAATTCAGCATTATTGAGTTTTTCAGTAGTTTATTGTAATTACGAATCATTCTTCTAACCTTAGTGTATATTACTTACTATAGATTTAGATGTGTTAGTTTAAATATGAATTTAAGCCTATTGAAAATCATAAATGAAAATGTTTATCCACAAGTGTAAGTTAACCCGAAAAAGTAAACATTTTAGTTGCAAAAGTTTTCGAAGTATGAAACTTATTTATTTCTAACGATAAAAGGAATGTTTTTATATCTGAAAAGTTCATTCAGGCTATTTTTGGTTTAGTGATTAGGGTATTAATTCCTCATGAAGACTGATTATCTCCTCCATTGATAAAAGAAAATAGAACAGTCAATAATTTCAAGTTTAGTTTAATCACTTTAAATTTCATAAAACGTCGTGACATTCTTGTACTCTGACACTATATTATTAATCGGATTCCGGCTAGATTTGTTTTTTGTTCTTATTCTCCTGTTTCAAGCGTAATTCTTTTTTTGTTTCATGTTGCTTAAGCAACAGTTTATGCATAAAAAAAACCATAGTTTAGTACTCTACAATAAAATACAATGTTTCCTCAAAACCATTTCAAATCATTTTACTTCTGAACTTTTTTTACGCATATTTCTAAATATTCAGAGTTTTCCCTACCTCTGTTAACATTCCTTTCTCAAAGATTCATTGTTTCGCATAATTTAGTAGACAGATAGATGTTTACTGAACTGTATTTCTTGTTTACTAATTGCTTTATTTATACATTTTATTCTCTGCAGATACAATCACTTGGAATCATTACCAGATTCGTTAGCACTTTGCACAAATCTCTTAGAATTAAATATTGAAGGCAACAATATTTGGCAATTACCGGTAAGTGTAAATATTCTTCATTGAGTTCCCCTTTTTATTTTTTGCCGTGTTTGTTATCTTTGCGTAAACATTCTATATTGAATTCAACTATTTTAGAGAAAGTGAGACCCATACACAATATATACATGAAATTGTTTTTAAAAACTAATGGTTATGAAAAAGGTTACTTTCATTTAAGGAATTATTTTGTTACCTGTACAATAACATAAAAACTGTCTGTTCGAATAAATCATCAACAAAGTTATATTTCAAAAAATAAAGAAGACGAACAATAAACTCTCTCGAGAATTATTATTAAAACAATTAAAGCTGGTTGGTTGGCTGCATACACATTTTCATTAATTTACAAATTGAATAAACGTATTCAAATAAAAGCATAAAATTTTAATAGTTTTTTTTAATAGAATACTGATGAGAACTTCACATCTGTATCTATTACATTTGTTGTTTTACATCAAAAGTGATTGTACATACATTAAGTCGAACCTTTTTTCGTTATAAATTGCTATTATTATCATTTTAGACATTTAAGTAGGTCATTTTATATTGTTCGTGAATGGGATTCTGATATGAATTAGTGATGGATCTCTGAAAAATATTCATTTGCAGAAAACAAACATCAAATGACTTAGCTACTCAATCTCTATGTTTGTGTTCCATTAATCAGAAAGATGAATTTTATTTGTTCTTAGTATTATCGAATATAAAAGATTTATTTTACTGTATGTTGGTTAAGGAAAAACTTTTTTAGTTTTGAAGAACGACAACAAGATGCGACAAAATGTTACACAATTTTCATTGTTATTATTCACAGTAATATAAAAGGTAGTATTAAAATATTTCTATTACATCACATGTTCATTGATTGTTTCCATATATTCACAAAATGAATATCTGTATATATTACAGATGATCATTTTATCATTTTTGAAAGACTAGCCTTTCCTATCTTTATTTAAATATAAAAAATCATGAAAATATTGTCCAATACATTTTTTAGTGTTTGTTTATCCTTTATTATCAATATTTTCCTAAGGACAATTTATTCTATTCGTTCTTTTTTTGTTGTCATTAAATTATTCACAAGGAGGGACTGCTAACACATTTGAAAAAAGTTTCCTGTGTGACATTGTCAAGAAATTATTTTAATATTTTTCCATCTGGTGGTCCTCAGCAATTTACTTCAATACAAGTTAGTTATGTTCTATAATCTTTCATTAAGCTTGTATTTAAAGTATTATTTATCAATAGTGTTCGGTAAGAATATTTTAAGTTATGTGCTTAGTTTGATCACATCTATTTTAATACTTTTATTGTTCGTAACTGAGCATTTCCGTCGTAAGTATATTCAAGATTGAATCGATCATCAATCTCTGTCGACAATTCGGACTATTTAGACTTCAGAAATATAATCACATAAGCCTTCATATGTTGATGCGTAACAAAATGTTGACCTGGGTTTAGAAATCACACTTGACCTTTTCCAGCTTGAAATAGCTCAGAATCGTATGGTCTAGAAGTTGAGTGTTCGCGCGCGAGACCCAAAGCCCTGAGTTTGAATCCCGCGGGCGGGATCTTTGGTGCACACTGTTGAGGAGTCCCACAATAGGACGAAATAGCCGTCTAGTGCTTCTATCTCCATATTACTCAATTAATAACAAGTATCAATTTATATCAGTGTTATTATTATTGTTTGTCATAATCTATCACTTCTTTTGTTTTATTTAAACTTGTGTTAATTTATTCCGGTTATTTATTTACTTTGAAGAAGTGGCTTACATTAAGTCACCTAATAGAATTTTTCTACTCATTGGGATATAGCAAAAAATATATTTATTATTAACCTTTTACCCAACCTTTGCATTGATGCCTATAAATCTATCACTTCGTTAGCTCATTCATGTCAATCGTTTTGTTATTTTCCATTTTCATTCATCATAAATTCGATTCAACTACTAAATTCCTTTCTTTATTTTTTCCAAAAAAATATGTCTCAAACTTCAGTCTCTCAATATGGAGTACAATCAAATAACTCGAATACCGTTTGGTATATTTTCACGAGCATCAAATTTAACTAAATTAAATATGAAAGATAATCAAATCGGTGCTTTTCCACCAGGTAAATGCACTCCTTCATATAATTTTTTTGCTTTATCCAATATTGCTTATTTGGTTGATATTTACATCGAAGCCATGCGTCTTCATTTTCATTTTTGCCGTTTATAATTACATTCATGCATACTATATTCTATGTAAAAATATCTATGCAAATAATATCCACCTATCAATATCATTCATGTTGGGTGTGAGACGGTTGTCACCGATAGCATCAAATGATCGTTGCGCAAATTATTACGTAAATTAACTGAAGTTGTAGTTATACCCATGCTGTTCTAATGGTTAAGCGTTTGTTGTAAGACCTGAAATTCTTGAGTTTGATCCCTGATGTGAGGCCGTAGGCGTTCAGTGTTGAGTCGCATGCTAGGATTAAACAGCTGTCTAATGCTTATTTTTAAATGATGCCCCAATTGACTGTTACCAATACCACCTATCAATATGAAAATAAATTCACTAGTGATTTTTTATTCTTGCACAGTCAGATTGTATTGAAAGTGGTATGAATAATCATGGTTTATGTTGTGTTCAAATCAAAAGTTGATTTATTGGTGATTTGTATGTATGTATATATGTACTTATGAGAGTCCCGAGCTACTAGTATATCCAACTATGTTGGTCAGCTTGAGTTCATATTCTGTAGTTATTATAGCGTAAATAAGATACATTCATCTCCATATATATATATCCCTAAGAGTGTGAAAAACAACCTAGTGAAATGAATGAAGAGGTATACTATCATTAGCAATATAATCGTCAGAATCGTTGTAGCATTCAAATGATCAAGAAATCACTAATGGTTTTAAAAAATCACAGTTCCAGATCTAATCTTTACATTCTCATTAGACTTAGCCTAACACACATGATCTTTAAATCTTCAAGTTATCGTATTTAAATTCCAGTGATATTACTTGGCTTCCAATACTAAAAATAGTAGAGTGCACCTCGGAATTTAGTAGTTAGGGCCTATATAGCAAACTTAAATTCTTTAAACCTTGAGTCTCGAGCATTACTTTTGCGCTGATGACTGATTGTGTGAAGATATTCGATCTATAAATTTACAATCTAGTGATTTTATCACTCGTTTTGTCAATTTTATTAATTGTTATTAATCTTTTAGTTTGCTTTCTATTGTCTCTACTATAAAATGTCATTCACATTCTCGCCTTACATGACCTTGTTAGATAGAAAACATTTCAGTGGTTATTACTATTTCTATTCCTACTACTACCACTACTACTACTACTACTACTACTACTACTACTACTACTACTAATAATAATAATAATAATAATAATAATAATAATAATAATAATAATATCGAATATATTGATATTAATAATGATAATTATTATTAGTGTATGTGGATTGCCTTAGTTTATAATTAATATTATTTTTAAAGTACTGAATCATATTTGTTACTATCTCCGTTTATTTTATTTATTCCTTTTCATTATGTATATATTTGATCGTTAATTATATCTATATACTGGGAAATGTATATAAGATATTAAAAGTTGGACAAGTTTAGTTGAATTAAATGTTGGTACAAATCAATTAACAAAGCTTCCAGATGATATAGAATATTTAATTAATTTGGAAGTATTAATTTTGAGTAATAATCAATTAAAAGTGAGTTATTTCTATTTTATTTCTGGTACTTTATGATATTCCTTATATTGATGTATACATTTATATACATGCATGTGTGTGCTGTGCTGGGTACATTTTAATTGTACACTTTAGATAGAAACAGTGATTGTTTATTTCTTTTACATCTATCTTGTTCCAATATTAACTTGTTATATCAAAATGGTGGGGATTTCAATTGAGAGGCAATGTATTTTAAGTTGTGGAAGACAACTATATTGTGAATAATATATGAGTAAAAAATGTTTAATTCACTAATTCATTAACAAGATTTTAAGATGATGAAATTACAAGATGATAACAGTTGGTTATTTGAACAAAATCTTTTCATCCATTCATTATATACCATAACTACGAGGACGATTTGTGGTTTTCATTTTGATACTTTGCTTTTAGGTAGTTGAAAGAAAACTAGTATAACTCAGTCATAGATTATGAAGTTAATTGAAACATGTTTGTATCCCACAGAGAGGACTGGGATTCTTGATGATTACATTTAATCACTCAACATTTCAAAACAGTACACACGATGTTCAGTCACTTAGATCAGTTCACACATTTAACATTGGTTGACAGTATTTGATTAGAACTGAGGGTCTGAATGAACATGACAATGGTCACTACTCTGTAATTAATTAACTGTTGACGTTGATTACTTATGTAAATGAGATTATTTATATTTTATGGTTGGGTTTCATTTTGAACTAATTCTTTGTGATGAATAACTGAGAAAATTGATGACAGTACTTTGGAGGTTGTTGACACAGGATAGAAATATATCGCTTTTCTTTTTCACACGAAAATTCTTCATTTATTATTCATAGGTTTATTACAAAAACAAATCGTCAAATGGCAAAATTCGTTGTCCTATTCTATCCAATATTTCATAATATTGTTTATGTTCAACAATCTTATTTTAAATTCTTATAATTAGCAGTAAAATTGATCATAATTCATTGAATACTATATGAAACGTTTTGTAATTGATAACCAAAAGTATTCGTGAAGTTTTTCTTTGAAAAAATATATTTTTGTTTTAGAAATCATCTTACTACTATTGTGTCTAGCTGATTTATTTCTTAAGAATAATATTTATAACTTCAACAAAACTGTATATTGGCTACTCTGGTGTGTATGGTATAGAAGAGCTGAGTAATCTGCGAAGTGGGAATCGTCTAGTTGCATGTAAGCTGTCCATTGTATTTCGTGCTTCCCGTGAGATGTGTAGGTCTTCGTAATCCAGTCGATCACCGTAAGAAAGAGGGAGGGAGGGAGAGAGTAGGCAGCCTTGTCTGACTCCGGTTATTCTCTGGGATGTGTCAGTCGGCTGTCGTCCATGCACGACTGTGCAGTTTAGTCCGTTGTATGAATCCCGGATGATGTTGACGATCTTGTCAGGCACACTATAACGTCGATTAAGCTTACATAAGCTTATCCTATTCACACTATCAAATGTTTCCTCATAGTCAATTAATTTGATGTATAATGACGTTCCATTCAACTGGTTGTTCAACAATGATCCGTAGTATCGCAGTTGGGTTTGTGCACGATTGATCTTTGTGGAGTTTGGCCTGTTGACCAGGAAGTGGGGCGTTTACTGAGTTTCATCCGGTTCAGCAACAGTCAGTTGAAAACTTTTGCTGGTATTGATAGTAGTGTGATTCTACTGTAGCTTTCATACTTGTTCAGTTTTCCTTTCTGTAGTATCCTGATGAGGTATCCTTCTTTCTAGTCCATCGGCTCTTGTTCTTCCTCTTATGCTATGAGATTCACATCCCATTGGTGCTTTACACAATTCTTTGGACAACAACATAGCAAGTCCCTGAATCTGTGGAACTTTTTTCTTGATTGTCCGAGTACAGAAGCACGTCTATAGAACTTAACCTTTTCTGTCCAGCTTGGGTACACTGTGTTTCGCTGATTTCGAGAACCGTCAACTTGTATCTTCTGGTCCTCCCTCCCACATTTTCTGGACATTCCGTCTACCTATATTAATTGTTACTCTAGTTGTTTGAAGGGGCATCGTCCTCGTGACTTCCGAAGTATCTCGACTTTCACCATGAGGCGTCATAATTCTTGTGAATGAAGATGCTTCAAATCGGAGGGCAGGGTTTAGATTGCTCACTCTGGTTAGCGTATTTTAGCAGCGTTGTTTTCTGCAGGGTGAGATTGTTATGACCAGCCCTCCTTTACTCGGCTCGGGACCGGCAGTCACCCTGGAATGTCTGCAGGCGAAGTTATATATATATAAGCTTGAGACGGTGTGTCTATGCCTATGCGTATGCCGTTTTGATACAGACATTTGGTTTCAATTAGGTTTAGGTCAGGAATTTCCGTGTCAGTTGACTATTTTTCCGTTTAGTTGAAAAGTATTGATCTGCTGTCTAGACTGCGTGAGAATACGTGTCTTCCTTGACCTTTATTTTTTTGATGAATCAATAGACTAAAACCAGAAATAAATACTAATCATTTTAGTAATTAAGACAACATCTATTGTTTTTTCTCAGTTTCGCTATTATTTAACATTACAAATGATGTAAACATACATTTATAAATGGAAATTATTATTATTATTATTATTGAGTTTGAATCTCTAGGACACTGGATTTCTCCGATTCACTATTCTAAGGGCAACACACTCATCACAACTAATGAAGGTTTCATGAGCAATTCCTTACAGAATCTCCTTTTCACAATTCTGAATATTTGTATACTAAAATCAGGCACATATTCAGTCCACCCTGGTTTTTAATAGTTTCTATACAACTGATATTATTCTGTCAGGAATTTCATTTTAAGCTGCTTTTATGCATACCAGAGTATTATGCTATCTTTGATCAAGTTTAAATTTCAAATAGCATGTGCTATAAAGTCAGTTGATTTTTTTTTCCGTGGGATTATCCAGATGAATTTTTGTGCGTAGCTGAAAAACAGTAAATTTATGAATTTTCTCAGTCTATTTTTGCTTATCATCCTCTTGGTCTATGTTATTTCTCGGATATATGATAATAATGATTATTTAAATTGAATTCTTTATGTTTTGACTAAAATTGGATCGACTACTTAAATATTATTGGTTTATCAGTCTGTCTTTTCTGCTGCTCTATTTTATCATTAACCCCGTTTATATATACAATACTTGGGCTTCCAATCCGAAACATAAGGTTTTCTCAGGGTATCACTCTTTGAGTCTTCAACCTGTATTTCTAATCCACAAGGTAGTAAAGTAACATCAGGAGACTCAATCTCATGGTATTTGAAGACCAAAATAAATCTGTACAGAATTTATTCATATGAGATTCTGAAGCCCACTCTCACCTTCAGTTTAGAATTAGGGTTTCCTCTTTCTTTTAGGTGGATCCTGCGTTCCCACCAAATTGCAACCATTTACTTGTAATATAGTCTAGTAGATTCATCAATAATCTTTCTAAAATCCTTCACATTGCTACTTGACACAGCTTATTGTTTTCCTGAAATAAAGTCCAAAATGAAATAAAAGAGAAACGGTGTAAAGGAATAAGTAATCGAAAACTATTGAAAAATTGCAGTGAGGAATTTTGATTTATGTCGAAAACGTATTATATTTTTGTATAAAATACTTTAGACGGAGAATTTTTTGATATTAGCAAAATATTTGGAATCGAGGAGCGGTTCCAAAAAGGCTACTTTAACTAAGATAAATACTATTTAAACTACTCTTTATAAGTATTACACGAACACTACAGAAGTGTTTTTATAGTTACGTGAGTATTATTGTCTTCAATGAATGGTTAAGGAGGTTTTTCTATTGAACCCTATTTAAGTAGTCTAAATCGTGTGATTGAGAAAGTTTAAAAATATTTCACTTTAGCGAACAAAAACACTTACCTAAAAACTTTCCACATATCTCACATTAAAGTCTTAATAAGTTTAATATAAAATTAATTATTGAGTAATGTAATGTTATCCAGATTGAATTTACTACAATCCGTTCGTTTATTGGTCGAATTTGGACTATTGCGAAAGACAACAATATTTTATGATTTAATATTCTGGTTTCTTGTTTGATTTTACTGTTACATGGAAATAAAGTTTCCAATTGTTTTACCTAGAATTTTATTTTGTTGAACAAGGAAAAAAGGATTGTTCTTTTCATTTTATTAAATATTCTGCTTTTTACTGCCCCAGTTGTTTATCTGATTCATGATGCATTCATACACATACATAAATATAAAACAGACTAGCATTATTTTCTGTAAGTTAAAAAGGAAAAAAGATATTTCCTGTCTCATACTTCACGTTAGGAAATTTATTGCGGCCCTAGATTGCCTTTTCTCTCAATCTTTAACCGATCAATGTCTTTGTATTAGTAGAACAGAATAGTCAATGTCAATCTAGAATCATGTCTGTTAAAAATTTCACTTAACCAATCAGAGAGGGTGATTTATGATTCATTGACCTTGATTATATAAATTCCTCGATTCACTGAAGTGATTCGCCAAATTTATCTCCAAATATACGCTTCTGGTGTCCAAAAAGGGAACTTATTTTGGACCCTGGAAAGTTTGGCATTGAACACATTATATAGTTATGTCTGGAAAATTCAAGATGCTTTTGATTCGCATGACCTTACTTTACCGGAATTTTCAAATTACCACTTAAACCTTTTATATTCCTTTTGGAATTTTTTAATATGTGTTAATTTCTTTATTGTTTTTCTTATTAGAAGGAAGTAGTTATCCCACTTAATATTAATGTCTTGAAACCGTCGAAATAACATCTGTCTCAATAAATATAACGAACCTTGTATTTGGAATACACTTTCCGAAAGTTAGTGAATTGTGAAATCAAAAATTATAGGTGGTAAAATTAAAACCTTGGATAAAGACAAAAACTGAAGGTAGTTGCAATGGAGTAATAGCCGTGTCACTGAAAATCTCTAAACAGTAAAGTTTCCTGACACAATTCAGCTCACCAGTCAATAACTATTTGAACTGATGTCATATCTCGGCATGGCAACAATAATCCTCCTTTTCTCTGTTAACTACAATTGATTTTCGAAGTGGTTGATGGTCGGCTATGTATTACACTATCCTGCTTGATATAATTTATTTTTAAATAGTTATAGAATTACGATCACATAGCCATGCTTCATCGTCTCTTTAACTACTATTTAGTTAATCTAACAATAATGATTGCACTAAATCCGTCTGATCCTCTCTATGTGATCTATAATCCTTTTTTTAATTATCCCCTTTTTCAATGTGTTTATTTCGTTGTTTCTTTCTTCTCTCTCTTACTCTTTTCCTTCTACTACTAATCTTTTGTTACTTTTTTCTCTGTTATTTCCCTAGCAAATCCCAGTAACTATTCGAGAATTACAAAAACTACAAGTTTTAGACTTGGAAGAAAACCATTTAGAAAGTTTACCGCCAGATATTGGTATGTGGTCGTTTCTTTGTTTGTTTTGAATGGTGCTTTTACTGTGTAAAAATCCACTTCATTTTGTTAACGTTGTCTTTCTAATGCTTTTTTTAAGGGGAAGGGATTTTGTCGAGGGCTTTTTTTGTAATCTATGATTGACATCAGTTAATGACAGCCGTTTCCCTTTAGTTTTTAACTTTATAGCAACACACATCCATACACTTACATGGAGCCCACTCTATTACATATGTCTAAGTTTAAGAGGTATATTTTATATTTAAAAAATAAGTAATGTGGCCGAGTTTAAATACAATCAATCTCATTTCATTCATTTATATCATTATAGTTTACTAGTAACTCTCTAACGTAATGAAGTGGGTAAATTTGTTCAATGTATATTGGAATTTGATTACGTTACTAGTACATAACAGATGATTATTCATTCACTGCAGTCTACTAAGACCTGTAAATTTTACTTTTTATAGTCAAGTAATTCACAAAATTCTACTGGCTTTGGATTGAACTATTCAGAAGTAATATTTCATTGTATATCCTGCAATCATAAACTATACTATACTTCGATAATAAAAGAAATTATGTCTTACAAACAATTTCGATTTACAGAAAACAAAAAATAACCTGATTCGAATAGCTTATCTAATTTGTTAGATTAATTATGTAAATTCATTTCAAAGATCTATTGAATTTGAACACTAATTTGGACTAGGCATATATGTGGTGTGTGCTACTCATATTGACAGATATAAGTAGTATATATCAGCAGTCGGGAGTGGATTACTTGTCAGTAAAGGATTGAATTGAAGAGAATGGGAGGGGAAACAGCAGTTATAATAACAACAGAATTGAAAGAGTCGTGGAGCATGTAAAAGACAACTAAAAGAAGGTGCGCAAATAATGTAATTAGTGTATGGTTTTCATATTTTATGAAGGCAGGTTGTAATTTTGCATTGATAAATAAATTAGTTTTGCCCACCTGAGTTCCTATTCACTACATATAAATATTGGTGATTTAGTGTGAACATATCAGTTTTGTAAAAGAGAGATGGTTAATCAATCATTCTCAACTGTTTTTTTTTCTGAGACGTTAAATAATACTTACTTTAATTCCACCCATTTACATTTTTTACAAGTTTATTCAACTAACTGTAGAATTAAAATTAAGTAAATTTGTTTGATCATATAAATGAACATTTTGATATAATTCCTTAATAAAAAATCAATGGTAGAAATAACGTATTGGGAACTTGTGATATGTATAGTAATTATGTGTTTCAAAACGAAACAGAAAAAGTCACTTGTTGTTTCTTACATTATCTGTATTTATGGATGATATACATTTCAAGTGTCGGTTTTCAAACCATATACACTATTACTTCTGGGTTCATAATCATTTTGAATTTCCACCATTTTTTGATTTTTATCAGGTTATCTAGGTGAACTTCAAAGATTGGTGGTCCAATCGAATAGACTGACTAGTTTACCTCGAGAAATTGGGTAATTATTATTTTTATTGTCTTTCATCTCACTGAGTTTTTTGATAAACAGAGATATTAATCATATTTTACGTGTTTGTGTGCCTTTTTTGTCCAAGTATATCGACCCTTCAATTCAAATATAATGTCTAAAGGTTAAAAATCTGGACAATAGAATATTCATTTCGATTTTTTTTCTGCGTAAATATGAAATTCCAGACTTCTATGGCGTTAATTTTTTTCACTATTTATTAACACCAAAGCCGTAGGATGTTTGAAAAACAGAGAACATTGAAAAAATATTCTGGACCAGCTTAAAACACTAATCTGTAGTGATCAATCACAACGTGATACCTAGTCGGTCCCCTTGACCACGATATCCATCTGGATTACTAAGTTGCGATAGAATAGTTCATTTTTCCAAATCCCATTAATTTAACATACTGTACATCGATTATTCAGTTTCATCGATGATATCTTTTGTATTCTCAACACAGTGTAAGTGCGATGATTACAGTTTTTCACTATTGGAAAATTATGGACTATGCACTTAGGACCTAGTAACAGAAACATAGTATAATAATCTACTTGAAACTTTTACATCCTTAATAGGTGTGCGGTTTATAGTTCACACTAATGAGAAGTATTTCTTATTCAAATCAAAGTAGTTTTACACTCCATCCAATTTTCAGCTACTTTCTGAGCTGTCATGCCTGTGTTTAACGTGTATCTGATTTCCTGTTGAGAAAATCTCTACAAACAACCTATTTTATGTACGTTTCTTTTAAAGTTATTACTTAATGTAGTTATGTAGCATTTATTGCAATATGAAATTTTAAAATGTTTGAGAATATCCAAAGTCTCTTATGTGTAACATGAAACTGACTTCGGGCTAATCAAATAATAGTAAACCATATTAATGGAAATTAGTACATAGCGTATTGTACTCGGATGTTTTAATAATGACTTCCTACTTTTTGAACTGAAAAGGCAGAGTGGAGCGAATGAATAGAAATAGAACTTTCACTCCAACTTCTTTAGTTATACCAAAAAACATCAGTATTTATATGTTATGGTTAACCTTGATGTTCTCGAAACTTTTCGATCAAACATTTAATTATGTTATTTAAGCTATTTATCAGTAGTAAATTAATTTATGGAAACTAATCTAGAATTTCGGAAATACTCACTAGTTTTCCAAGTTCTCCATACCATACAATATTGATCGGTTTTGAAAAAAAACTTAGTACGTTCATCATCATGTACAGACAAAATGAGATGCAGAATGAATGAACTGAGAAGTTTTTTTCTTTGCCATGATCTAATATCTATTCTTAGAAATCACAGCTAAACTACTACTGACGACTAGTGTCATATTGTCAAGCACACTGATGTGTAATTTATATATCTTATATTCCCCTTAATGAATCAACAATTTAATTCTGTATTTTGGTTGTTAATATATCTATGACGAGTATAATTTTGCTCAAGTTGTTAGAAAATTAATTATTAACTTACTTCCATGTTATTCACTCTCTATTGGACAATATTTTAATCGGTTTTATAATTTCAATTATACTCAACAGTCGAGGAAGTTCTTCTTAATAACTACCTTGGCGACTTATTATTTTACAGTGTGTGTGTATAGTTTACTTTTCTGTTGGATAAATTAGTCAGTAGTTTTAAAGTTCAACTCAACTAGAAAATGTAATCAATTATTACTTGCAATGAATAAATTGAAACTTTAACTCACATCTCAGATAATTTCGGATTATAAATAAACCGTTAAACACAACAATTGTAAATGACAAGATTCAATAACAATGAGCTTTACAAGAACATGCTACTCTGTGAACCCTTATGTATATAAAAATATAGTTTCAATTGTAACATGCATATGGAACCTAAAGATTTGTTGGCAATAAACTTGTCATCCATATTTATTATTCTAGTATTTTATGGATACGTTAATGACTATGGATTATCAATGCACTACATTGATTACTTTGTCATTATTATGATTATTTATGTTCTCAACAAGTCATCGATTATTAAGGGATTCAAGCAGATACCAGAAGAAATATAAATCTTTACCGTGCACGGATTGAGAAGTATATATATACAATAAATATACTGATCATTAATTCAATCATCTCATGGTGCATCATCTTTTCTTTCAAGGTTATTTCGCTAGTGTTCTGCTGTGCGTTTCCAATGATAATTATATCAGTTTGCATTGATGATAGTCGTTTTCTTTATTACTTGAACCTTTAATTGAAACTCTGAATTTTTATTTTTCTGTTAACAACTTCATCATCAATTATCTAAATCTGTATATAAATGCCTGTTCTAAATTTCTTTTGCTTTATCTGTGTTTTTCAGTCGCTTATATAATTTGATTTATTTAGCCGTTGGTGAAAATGAACTACAAAGTATACCAAATGAAATTGGTGAGTTTCATTTCTCTATTATTATTATTATTATTATTATTATTATTATTATTATTATTATTATCTTTAAACTACTGTTATTATTACAAGCTTTCCATTGTATTTTGATTGGGTTTTTTAAAATTAGGTTTTAATAACCTTCACTGTTGGAAAAAAACAGCGTTGTTGGTAATCTATTCAATGAACCTCGATTTCATATTTAATTAAATATTTTATTTTTTTATCAAGGCAATTTATAGAGATCTAATCTTGTTTGAATATTTTGTCAATAAATAACAGCTTTACTATTACCTTTCCCATCCCTTTCACACACACACACACACTCAATACGTATACTTTGGCAACTCTTTAATGATTGCAATTTGCCTCAGTTGGATTAGTAAAGTATCCTTGAGGTCACCTCGTTCGATTCTCAGTTATTCCAATTTTGATAGTGTTAGATCTGTTGAAGCGTCCAAGTCACCCGATTGAGATACGCGCAAATTCGAAGTTTCCAAAACAACGATTTGTCTACAATAGCGGTTCTTTATTAAATAATACACAAAATTTAGTTACAAACATCAACTTGTGAGGTGTCTAGGCGTTTAAACGCGTCCTTCAAGAATGAAAATAACAAAGGCTTCCTGTAAGAGTAACATAAAGAATAATTATAACATACGATAATACAAAGGACAGCTGATAGCTGTCTCTAAATTTGATAACAGTTTACGAACAACCGAAACCCGAACCAGGAGCAAACAATATAGAAACTGTTGCGTTTAAAAAAATGCGCAGAACTGTGGATAACGGCTATAGCGATTAAGATACAGTAATTATAATTATAAATACAATGATAAGTACAATAAACGTTATAAGTATGTGTGAACATTTCAGAATATTACAGTACAACTTGCTTTACAACATAAGTTTGAAAATTGTTGCGAATACAACTGCTTACTGGATGTAAATGAGTAGTTTAAGACAATATACAAAAGAGTAGAAAGGGGACGAGTAGGAACAGTGTAAGACAGACTTAACAGATAGTCTTTAATAAATCAATTATTCGGATCATAAATATAGGTTTAAAGTTTTACTAGCAAGTAAAACAAGATAATGTAATGTATAAGATTTGGAAGAAATTAGTTATATTTAAGCTATTCATGTTTTTTAATTATTTCCATTTCATTTTAATAAATAATTAAGTTTTTATTTCATTATCATGAATTTAGTTGATAACTAAACAAATAAACTAATGATTCCGTACATATTGCTGGAAATAGAGTCCTAAATTAATAGAATTTCAAACTTTAAATTGTCAGTCACCATTGCAATTAGTATAATGCAGGTAGTTGATATGTTGTCACACTTCTTTGATATGGAAACTTCATTTTAAGTTAGAATTCACAAAATTGTATATTTGTTTGCTTTTTAACGTTGATAAAACACGCCATTTTGTTTGTCACCCAAAGTGAAAACACTTAACTGAAAGATTGCAATACATTAGGTGCCCATTAATTGAATATTTATCGTTTATGTTAAATAGTTAAAAGTTGTTGGCAAGAAACCTTAGACCTATACTTCACACTAGTTTTTATTTATCATTAATGTGTATTTTTGATCTTCAGGGGATTGATACTCCTTTGGAAATTCTAACCTTTGTCACCCACATTACAACTTGCTCAATAGAATTTCACTCTCATTGAGGACTTGACAAACGTAACGTTGGTTACTATTCAGTGACTAATCAGTATAGATACCTAACCTTTTCAAGTTGAAGCTCATAGCTAACTATGTATCAAAACTTGCTACCAGTCATTCTTATTCCGAAAAGTCATTACTTTGTAACTGGGAGTATAGTTAATTTCTCAGTCTATTTAATTTTTTGCATATGTATTTATAGATCTTTCAGTGGATTAGGTATTGTTTAGCTGAATACTAATAGACAGATAGAGGAAAGATGTATATTAACCATTTTTTTCTATTCTTTCTTTTAAAATAATAAGTAGCTATATTAGATTTAAGCGTAAAAAATCAGGTTGTTTTGAGTGTATGCAAGTTTTAACTCGAAATAAATTCAACCATACATTACTGTCCACATAATGTTAATCCAGTAAACAAATAGTATTAATTAAAATAGGACTTTTTAATTACTCGTATATACTAGGCAAATGTTACACTAAATAATTATTCTTACAATCAGTATATTCTGACATAATTCATGACAAACTGATTCACTAGTTAATTGCTGCTCTGGTTAGGGCAATCTGAATAAAAATTGATGAACATACCACACTGGATATAAATTACATTATTTTTAAATGATATATTGGTAGAGAAGATGAGAAATACCAAGGTGTATAAATTTATAAACTATTTACCTAGTGATCACTAAAGCACTCAGTTCTTACCTAAGAAGTTTGAGTTTTGAACATCGCTTTATCCATTTCGTTATTTAGGTAATCAGTCAGCCAGTACGATCAGCAACTTGTCAGACAGTTTAACTCAAATTTGAGTGCATAAACCTATATTGATTTTTATAAAATGCTCAATATTTGAAATGAGAATCGATTTGCACTTTTCGTGTCGTTGGTAAATCTGTCCAAATTGTATGTAGTGTAATGATTTAACAAATTAAACCATTAAGTCAGCAGTCGTGGTTAGCGAATCCACTTTATAGCCTAACCATTATGCGTTAAGACACAAGCAGATATTCATTCATTTTCTTCAATCATATGTATTTAACTGATTATTATCACTTTTACGTTTCTGTCTATACTATTTTCATAAATTTGAAGGTGATCTACATAAATTGGAAACATTATATTTAAATAATAATTTGAACTTACATGATCTTCCAACTGAATTAGCTATGTGTTGTAGTCTACAAATGATGTCCATTGAAAATTGTCCTTTAACTCAAATTCCTGTTGAAGTTGTAACTGGTGGTCCTTCACTAGTAATTCAAGTGAGTTAAAAAATTAAATTAAAAATTAATGTTTCCTGCTTACTGTATAATAAAATTTGTTCATAAATATATTAGAATATATTTTGTAAATATTCAGTAATGATACGAAACTATGTGTAAAATAAGAGATTATTGATAACACGGTGTATTCTTTTATTGTTATTATTACTTAGCATTTTATGATATTGGAGTCACTGCAGTATTTGTAATTTCTTAGTCCATGAAAAAAAAACATAGAACACATCAAAGCACATCCATTGTTTAACACTACATCAGTCCAGAAATAGATTATTACAATTTGTAATATTCAGAAGTAAATGGTATTTACAAAAGCTAGAAGATATGCGAATCAACGATAGTTTTGGACTACGCTCGATCCACCTTGGTTAAGACGGTTGATTATTATCACTAAGCCTCAGACAAACAATTTAAATCAATGCCAGTTACATAATCCCTTGTAATTGTCGAATAAGTGAGCATTTAAATAAACTAGAGTGATTTCAGTGGATCTTCAAGAACTTAATAGAAAGTTCATGTTTCCGAAAAAAATAAAGCAGGAATTAATCCATACCATTATTGTTTAGTTCAGTCTATATCATTTACGATCTCTATATTAAGCAGATTAATCGTCAATAGTCTTAATGAATTCATCAGAATATTGACAACTTTGTTATTTTGTTTTAGATGTATAGGTTAATTGTTTAATACTGGATGCTTGTTGCTATGTTTAAAAAAGATAGCGTGCCCGTACACCAAAATAAACAATATTAGGCATACAGACCTTAAAATCCACTCTTTTACTTGGTTTCGCAGTTTTCCATGTATGTATTGCAGTATAGACTGATCAATAGCACAGGAATTTAAGTGAAACTTATTAATAGAAGTAATTTATTCACTAATACTTTCTCGATTACGTTATTTGCTAAATATAAGCCGAAAAGGTAAAACTAAACAACTTATCTACATTAATTGTGTTGACAGACTATACTTCGTTTACAGGTATTATATATTGTCTTCTATCCAATACTAAAGGATTTAAATGTAGCTCTTATCATTGATTAAGTTGGACATCAGAAAATCGCCGGACATTCGTTTCATCCTGGCATGGGTCTATTCATAATATATACACGAAACCCTGTTAAGAACCGTACCAATAACCTTTACACCTTGATTTATTTCTATCCCGAATTCAATCAAATCGCGACTGTACAAACGGACTTTTAATTATGAATTCGCTTGTTCCTTTCTAATGATAACACTCAACAATATTTTCCTTTAGAATTTCAATGTTCGTTCAACTTTTATGTTATGATCTTCAATTCATAGAAACGATTTAATATAACTGATATTCACTTATTTTCAACACTATTTTTTATTACGCTTCGAGTTTGTGAACGTTAGTGATACTGCTAAAGTCTTAATTACTAATCATGCACTCAGAAATACTGTGCGAATTGTGTTCTGTTTTGTTTTTGTATTGCAATACTTAATAAAATGTATGTTAGATAATTTTATTTAGTTAACGTTACTTATTCATAATAAGCACATGTCTTCAAACTGGTCAACCCATGTTGAACGGCTAATCTATTCATCTTGTACAAATCTTAAATATTGCTGTTTGTTATAATGTGTATTACTAACTTTGTTGCTACTGGTCTACTTAATCATGAATTTAACATTTTATTAAGCTTTGGTGCTTTTATGATTTTCAACTGATTAATCAGTAATTTTAAGTTGAATATTGAATTATCATACTTTAATCTAATTTAATGCTTCTTTTTTTAAAATATTTGTATAAGCAGTTTTCTTTTGTTCTTTTTCCTTTTAGTATCTACGTCTACAGGGCTCTTTCAGTCATATATGAATCGTTAAGCTGTTTCAAATTATTTCTTCGTCTTCTCTTTGAATTCTCAACATCATTGAAATACAAAACAACAGGAAGTAAGAGTTTTCTGTTGTTAATGGATGATACATTGATTCCATATGTCAATTCAAATGTGTTTTTGTATACTTATATGCTCATAATTATGCACACATGTATGATAGCACGTTTGTGTACTTCAATTACTAGAGCCTTGTGATTTAACATTATTAAACCAAACTTATTTTTGAAATATCTGATACTGCACAAAATGTTTATGTAAATTACTCAGAAAGGGATAAAAAACTTCTTTCATCATTGTCTAGTTTTCAATAATATTTTGACTTCTGTACATGTTGATGATTTTCTTTGCATGTAATCGTTAGCTAACAAAAAGTTTATGATTGATCATTTGAGAAGTCTTTCGCTTCTGATTTTTGATTTATTTTTGTGAATATTTCTCTTGAAGTAGATCAGTTGAATATCGAAAAATTTTTGTATAAAAAAAATCAGATTTCTTAATGTGTCAGCGTTTATGTGTATTCATCTTTTCTTTTTCTCTTTAATTTTCTGTTAGTTAGTATATTTCCACCTTCGTAAGTTTTTCACTTATTATCTTGTCTCTAAAATCTAGTCTCAATGCACATGCATTTAATATACTCTGTCGATTGTACTGCTAAGCCATAAACTTTAAAATGTAATTACTTTTGCATGGCTATCACACCCTTTAGAACGTTGTAATGTGACAAATAAGAATAGGATATGAACTGTTCCGCGATATATATATATATATATATATATATATATATATATATATATATATTCAATCTCTTCTACTTGCATATCCCTAAATAAAACGAAACATCAAAACTCTGTGTAATTATTATTTTTTGTAACTTCATTTTTTTGTTCGTTTTAACTTTCAGACTATTTCTAACGGTTTATCATTATCTTCGTGTTTATTTCTGATTATTTATTTTTTTGTGACTTATAAAAGCGCATCTTTTCTTTGATTTCTTTATTCAGCTTCACTCTTTTTGCTTGTTGCTAATCAGTCAGTTTTTATATATCTGAATGTTTATATCGCTTTTTCTAAGAATAATTTGATAAAATTGATTTTAGCTGAAAGACAGATTAGTGTTTTCTTTACAGAATTAAAAATTGTTGACATTTTACTGGTTTTAACTGCGATTAAGTTATCACATCATTGATGTGACATAACAAATATGGGTTGAGGATTCGTATCACTTTTCATTTGAAACAACTGGATTCTTATAGTCTTCAGTTTTAAATTTGACCTACTTAGTTCATTATCCTAAACTGTATGTTACACATTTTGTTTTCATCTCTAACAAGAGCAATGGAAAGTACTGTAAATGATTCCTTTGTTTATTATTTACTGTTGAACTACGATCCCGTGGTATGATTAATTTCAATATCTTTTGAACTGAGCTATCCAAGTGATATTTTTCTTGCCTAAAATAAGAATAAGCTAGCAATAGTTGATGAAAGCAGGTGTTACATGATAACCGAAGATAGTTGTAGAGAACTGAAGTGAACTTGGCATGCTATGAGCCAAAGCTTGTAATATGAAGAATTCAAGTCAAACTTTTCATAACCGAATAATTGTGAGTTTTGACTATAACAACTTGCGTAATTGCCTAAGACATTGGGCGGTTAGGTAGGTACCCCAATCTCGAATATTCCAATGAAAGCTTGTATCAGTTGCTAAACTAACTTTCACACATCCTTCAGATATTTTGGCCGACATAGAACAGTTTCCTTTCATGTTTTGCTGGTCATATGAACTTACTGACAAATTAATATAATGTAAATGAAAGTCTTTTAGGAGGTAATCAACAGGTTATACTGCAAAGCTATAAGTAAATTTAGATGATATCAACACTTGGTATGTTGTTTGTGTTCACTGATTGAAGTGAATGATTGATTTACAGTTAAATACTTCAAATGTGCTTATTTATAGTTATTAATAATCCTCGGTTGATTGGCAGTCGAACACCTCTCAAAATGCACTGAGTATTCAGAGTTTAACCCAGTAAAGTAATTATCTATATTCAAATGAATATGAATCAGTGATGATGACTCAAATTTACAATTATGTAAAAAGAACTAAGTGACAGCGAATGATATCAAAAGTATGTATAAATAGGAATTTGTTCAATTTTTGAAACTTTGTCATGTAAACCACCGTAATGGTTTGGGACAATCCCTACATAAAAATTGTGGTATTGCATAAATATGTGCAACTTTCGTGTTGCACACAACCGATAACACGGACGATGAGCTCGGCATTTCCTCAAAATTCTGTTCAAAAAACATCGAAGAACATTTCTGAACTGCCGAAACACCTTTTAAGCATGCTTAGTTTAGTTTTTGCCCCAATTTCTTAAAGAATGGATTTGATCTTACACTATTTGAAAGAACCAGTAGAAATATTTCTATATAGTCCTCGAATCTTTACAGATTGGTAAGAAGAACTTTCAGTAGTTTTGAAATATGAGAAGATGAAAAGCTTAGTTTTTTTTCTCTGGTATCACATTACCACAATATTTCTTGCGAAGTTAGCCTGTCATTTAGTAACTTTTTCAGAAGGTACATTTTTGAACCTGTTTTTCTACCGAACAAAATATTCCGTAATAAGCGAGAGATGAAAAAGTGAATTTTAAATATCTATGAACTGTTTCACTTCAATCACTTTGTCCATTAAAAGTCCTACTTGAGAGGTGAGCTGCCCACTAAATCCATGATATTGAACATCAACAGTCCCTCATATCTTTTGTACACTATTCTACCATACGAGCACCTGGAAGTTGTCTTCATTTGACATGAAATCTAAAGTTTTAGAACTGTCAGCTCAATCAGCGAGATGGTAGAAATCTATGGTACAGAATCAGATAATGTGTTACAGGAGCTTGTTTTAACTGTACGTATGACATACAACAATCTATCCATTGGGATAATTTTCCGGTTTAGGCTTAAATCCGGTGCTTGTTCTGCGAATAAGAAGGAAATCACCAAGATAAGTCCAGAAGAATAGCACATGGGGAAGTTACATAGTATGTGATCGATAAATGTGCTCGTTAGCAAGAGAGTCTTTCACCAAGTGTACTCCCCTTATATACATACTCGGACCATGTTACAAGCCGAAATATAGATATTATCTTCCTGTCTTTGAAAAAGATCGTCTCACAGATTTTTGTTTTCTTATCTTTACACTTGAGGTTTATAATGCAACCGAGCAGGCATATGTTGTATTAGATCGAACTGTATAATCTGAAAAGCGCATTTTTAACATTCGTCACGCAGTCCTGGACTCATGGTAAGTGTGATGCTTGTAATTAAATAGGATAATTGAATCAGAAGCAGTAGAATCCTACTTACGGTGTTTATTACAGCCAATATCAAATAATTACAACTGGGTACTTATTTTGGAATGCCAGATCTTGCCAAGCATATGGGCTGTCAAGCGAACTACTCAAACGTTACTAGGTTACTTGCGTTCCATTGTGTAAACGGATCATTGTTTGATGCCCCTCATGACCTACCTCAAACCTTAATCCAGATATTTCTTCCTCTTTGATCATTTTTAAAATCTGGTTTATTTAATTTGAAATCGTTCGCTAGATGCGATTCTGACAGTAGTGTTGTTAAATCCTGAGCATGCTACATCCCTTTGGCCTTAAGCAAATAATTTATTTATATTTTACACTATGTTTACATCAGGTGAGCGACGTAGGAGATAAATAAACACTTATATAGGTTTGGATAACATAAAGTACATGGCTTTCAAGAATATACATGCAACCTTGCAGTATTCGACCGACGCCCCAACTTTATTTCGGAATGGTTTTATATTGTTGGAACAAACGTGAAACTTCTGAAAATGTTAAATAGAACTATTGCAAATGCGTTTAACCTGACTGATTGGTACATCATACCGTTGAAAAAGACAAAGGTGTCCTTGTTATAAGTATTCCTAGTCGCTTTTTATGAATACGAGGCCAGTGAAGTTTAAAATGAACCAATTATGTCTGTTTGCGTGAAATAGTGATACTGCTTTTGTATTTTCAGATTATTTTCTTTCATTTGTATATTCTACCCTCATTATGATGGTACATACACCTAGGTTGTTTAAGACTCTTTCACCGCTCACCCTTCAACTCATTCCATACTGACCCACAATATCAAAGCGAAGTTCTGCTACATAGAATCTAACTACAGGTACGTCACATCAAGTGTGTTTACTAGCGACGTTTCTGAACCTTATGACACTGTAAAGAAGGTTGTCTTCAAACGCAAGGACCTAACAAACCGACAAATGTCAGATCAGCTTTTCAATAATTTTGAGTTTCTACATGGCTCGGCAACAGAAATGTTACTAAGTATGAGAGTTACTTGATCAACGGTCCCTTTATACGAGCCTGTTAAGAAATTCCTTCTTGTATAACCTTTCCCAACGAGTACAGGCAGTCTTTGTCTCATATCAGAATAACGCTGTAGACTAACTTGCAGGTTAGTAGTCAGAAATAATTATTTTTCTTTTTGTGTAACCTTTTCCGCTTGTAGTTGATCCTTGTCACACTAAAGCAAACGATCGATCCATGCTATCAGCAAGTACACCATAACTACTACAACCTGTACCAAACACGACCGAAATTATTACGTACAATCAGCAGTGATATGTATCAAATCACGACTACAGGACCACCGGTAAAGTCGAAAGCGCGCTGACTAGCACCCAAAAAGTGAGGTTGGCTAAAAACGAATTCCAACATATGACAGACTAAAGGACCATTCGGCCATCAAACAGCAAATGAGCATCTCCTTAGATCATGGTCCCTAAAACGGACAACAACGATCGGTTTCCAACAGGTGACCATCGGCGATTGAATGCGAAAAACATACATGACCGTCACTTGTTTCCCTAACATTCACAATTTGAGAGCTACCCTGAAAAACGCGACTACTTTTTTCGAAATTTTTTTGGTTAAAGCGTGTAACCAAATTTCCATAGCGTCTGACCAAACCTTTAAGATCGTTATCATTGTACCTTTCAGCCTATGTGGACTTTTGCGCATGCCATTCGGTTTGAGAAATGCTACCTAGACTTTTTAGAAACTAATCGATGACGTTTATCGAATTCCTAACTTCGTACATGCGTATGCTGATGACTGATTGATATCTCGTCAGGGCAGATAACCACATCTTCAGCATCTGGACCTTGTTTTCGAACAACTGCAAAAACACGGCATTACTATAAGCATTGAAAAATATCAGTTCGGAACCTACTTCCTAGATTTTACCAAACATTATTGACCGTCGAGGTATTTGCCTTCTGCAAAACAAAGTGACGGCCATTCTGGATTAGCCAGATCCAACTGTAACCTTGAAATATCGCACCTTTAGTTGTCCAATGGGTTTTCATCGACGGTTCATATCGAAATAAGTGTCTATTATGACACCCTTAGCAGACCCTTAACAACTATAGACCTCTTACCTGCTCTCTAAGCTCGTTTTCAAACAACCACTCTCCTCGATAATCTCGACAACAGGACTACTATCTCGCAGTATACTTCAGATACACATCACATTTCTGGGGCAAACGATGTCTTTGCGAATGCCTTGTATCGTATAACTTCCCTGAGCACTTCCGAGGATTCCCACTTACAAATCTGGGGAAACTTGAAAATGGAAAAGCTGGAAAACTTATAGCAGAGTGATTTTGTTTGCCTGGTTTGACTAAAGACACGAAGGAGTGGGGCCGCTCCTGTGCAAGCTGCCAGAAATCTAGGTTGATTAGGCACAACAAATGTGTTTTGGTCTCTTTCACAACTCATGCCGCATGTTGCGATCATGTTCATCTGAATTTGATAGGACCCTTACCAGATTCCAATGGATTCTCTTACCTTTTAACGTATGTAGTCCGCTTTGCACGATGCACAGAAGCAATATCCATCAAGAAGATTATTACTGAAACAGTTGCTGCCATCTACGTCGAACGATGAACAGCAAAATTTGACTGCCCTTCAACTAACGCCACTTACTGTGGACGTCAGACCGAATCTGAGCTATTCTGTTTTCTTACTATGCTACTACGAATCAAGCATTTCAAAAAGATCACCTACCCCAAGCAAGCAAACAGTTTGATAGGATGCTTTCACTAAGAGCTTGAAGCTTTACTTTCAGCTCCATATGTTTCACAGTGGACTGACGTTCTTCCACTCGTTTTATTCGGTATTTGCAATGCAGTGGCAGCTGACAGTGGATACACTACAGCTCATTTTGTTCATGGAACGACACTCCGACTTCCGGAATAATTCGTATGTCCCTCGTCTCCTCCAATGAATATGGATCTGAACTCCTACACAAGTAGTCTCACTGACTCCTTTCGTTCCGTTAAACGCGTTTTCACTAAACCGCGATCAAGTGATTTTTTTCGTTCAACCTACCACACGATATAGTACACACGCTTTGTACTTTCACAACTCATTTCGACGCCCTCACGTGATGGGATATGAAAGACCATTCAAAGTCATTCATCATAAACCTAATAACGGAACTAACGATAGCAGAAGCGTCGCCACAACTGCCGGGTCGTTTGGCTAGGACTCAGTGATATTGAACTTGCCCTACAAGCAAATCCAAATGTCCTTGTGCAAAATGTTCTTTTTTCTATCACATTTTTTCTATACGCATGTATAATAGTCGTTTACCCTTCTTCGCACGTTCTGTGTCCTTACACACGTACGAGTGTGTTTCGACATACACTTACAATTTTCCCTTTTTCTTTTCCCGGAAGGCAGCAAAAGATGTAAAAACCGTCAAAGCATGTGCTAAACAGAAATTTTACATCATACATTTTCTATTGTTACATTGTAGCTCATGATCTCTAATATAACATAGGGCGGCCGGATGCTGCTAAACACAGCGAGCTATCAGAATACTGCTTACCAAGGACAAGCTCGTTGGGTTTAAGTTTCTTGCCGACCACGTCTCAGAGTCATCACTAACTCACAACAAAGGAGGTCGAGTTAGGCGTAGGAGTAAATAAATCCTCAAAATACATAGTTCTGTGTGTCTTCGACGTTTTACTAAAACTATGATAATTAAAAGTAATATAATTCATATGCTCACTAAGGATTTCTGAAGTAATTTTGCAGATAGAACTAAATGATCACAACTGAACGTATTATATTTGGAATTCGTAATCAGTGTCCAATCAAGTACAAAGAAACCATCAGTTAGCGAAAATGCCACAAATGCTTTCATTCACGCATCTTCACGAGATCACGAGTAAATATGTCGTGCTACTCATCACATGCAAATATTCTGCAGTTTGGGTCAAACGCTTCTCGATGCTTCGATAACTTAGAAATATATCTTTGAACTACTTCACTTCTGGGTTCTTATTTAACTCATTTGACATTTTGCGATTAAAAATGTGCTACATGTAAAAGTGTCATTAAACTCCAAATACCTGTGGCATTTTTTGGATTGTAGCGGTAAATAAATCCCCAAAATAAATAGGCCTGTAAGTTTTCGACATTGGATGCTGACGATATGTTTTAGTGGACTCATCTAGCTGGAGGCGCTTGGTCAGGCATCCGCATCAGATCACGTGTGGTAACGCCGTGCTCAACTGCTACTGCAATCGCTAGCCAGATTAGATCAGAGAATTCCGATATATTGGTCTTCGCCAAATATACTCTTCCGATCTCCTCGACACTGTCTTTTGATTTCTCTCGGTGAGTACAAATCATATTAGGTGTTACTGGTAGAAGCGTTGTCAAACACTGAATACCTGAGTCATCCTTCTGGATCATAAGTTGACTCGTTGTGCAGAACGATATCTACCTAGTAGTTAGATTTAGTACACATTTTATGAGGTTCATAAGTTAGTACCGAACTTAGATTTCTAATTTATTTCAACAAGAGTGTTAGCAGAAGCACATAAAGCACCCAATAATCTAATCTTAAGACTTATATTTCACATCTAGCCATGAAATAAGGGGATTGCCGGTTGGACCACATGAAATCAGAATTTTAGAAAGTTACCGATTTCTATTATTATACAATGTGAACTGTGGATAGTAATGCAGATTAGCAATTCTTTTATTTTTGAAACGAAAGCTATTTAGTGGGGGACCGCTCACTTTGAATGAGTCGTTACTACAGCTGTTGCAATTATGTTGTGAGCTTGCTTCACGGTTCATAAAATGGCAAGACCCAGCCAAGATGGTGTATATACTGCGTTAAATGACATTTTTAAGCTCAAAAACTTTAAGTCCAAGTTGCAGGAACAAGCAACACACTCTGTGTTCGAGGGTAAGCTGCTCAACATAACTTGATGTTTTTAGGAAAAAGCGATGTATTTATTTCAATGCCAACAGGTTCTGGAAAGTCGCTTTGCTTTCAGCTCCCATCCGTAATGCATCCGGGTGTCGCCCTCGTAGTTTCACCCCTTCTTGCTCTCATAAGTGACCAGTTAACACATTTAAAAAAACTTCACATTCAGGCAGAAACCATTAACTCGAGAACAGCAGACACACAAAGGCGCAAACTGTTTCATCAGCTGATGAGCACGCCACTTGGTTCAAAATCGTACCCTAAACTTCTGTACATAACTCCTGAACAGCTACAAACTCCTTTTTCCTCTTCCCTTATTTCTCAGTTATACGAAAAGTCATGTTTAAGTTATTTCGTTGTTGACGAAGCACATTGTGTATCAGAATGGGGACATGATTTTAGGCCTGCTTATCTTGCTTTGGGAAGGATTCGTCGCAAACTTTTCCCAGCCGTACCATGCATAGCACTTACTGCAACTGCTACACCTCGTGTACGTGAGGATATCATCAAATGTTTGGGACTTGGTGAACTTTCGAATTACTTTCCTATAAGTTCACTTGGTTTTGCCGGTAACTTAGAGGAATTCAAATGCAGTATTTTCCGGCCAAATCTCTACTATGACGTTGTGTTTGGTGACTTACTTGATGACGTATATGCTGACGTCTTGCAATTCGCTGCCGAAAGTATCGGTTGGGACAAGTCTCGAAAATGTGATTGGGTAAGCCTCCCATTTAGTATCGCGTAGTAATCTCTCCGATTAGACAAAACTTGGATGTGGTATCGTTTACTGTCGAACGCGTACTGATTGTGAGGGATTGGCAGAAAAGTTAACTTCCCTTGGATTGTCTTCACGGGCCTACCACGCAGGGTTGTCTAAATGTGAGCGAGAAGACGTCCAAACGGGATGGTCTTCCGGTTTGTATCCAATAGTAGTTGCTACCATAAGTTTTGGAATGGGTGTCGATAAACCAAATGTGAGGTCAGTTTAAACCGTCATATTCATTATTTGTAAACCTGTTTTTAAAACTACTCTACCTGTTTTCATTTTCGCTAGCTTCCTTTAAAATACAAATTCGGCGTTAAGGTGATTGGGATATATATATATATATATATATATATATACATTGATCACCACCCAGTGATCAATCAATTGTGATTACATCTCAGTCCTACAGGAGGTTAATCGCGGCTCGGATAGCTCAGTGGTAACGTCTCTGACTGTGAAGCTGGGTGACACGAGATCGAATCCGCCAGGGAGCATCAGTTCCCTCAAGATTACAGGTACACCTTGCTGACGAGTGCCAAGTAGCACGAAACCCAGGTCCAGGGTTTCCTGTTGACTACCTCCAACCACCATCTAAATATATATATATATATATATATATATATATATATATATATATAGACATTACGGAAAATGTTTTTACATTTTGTGTTCGTCACTGTAACCAATGCGGATTACAGTGTACACTACTTTCAACAGTAATTCAACCGAGTTTGGTTAGAATTGGTGACAAAACACAACTTATTGACCGATGAAAATCACGTACCAAACAAAATAACACAGCGAAAGGAAATCGATAAGGAGGATGAATAAAAAACATGGTTCGAAAAGCAGTAAAGGACTGAAAGAAAATTATACTTCCTTGAACTATGTTAATATTTTGAAACGCTGACTTTAATGAAATGAACGAGATCACTTCTATTCTATCCTTCCTTGATTCAGCAACTACAACAAAAACACTAGTTTAGTAATTGAAGCGTATGGATAATGGCCCTAGTAGATCAGTCGAAAGTACACTGAGGTTAGTCGTTTATATATCAGTTAGTGATTAGGACTCATAGACTGAGTATTTTTCACCAAATAAAAGTCATTATGAAAGTGCATCGAAGGTTCATAAGCAGCCAGTGAGGAACAATTTATTGTAACAGAAATTCATATTTATTAATATAGATTCACTTCTCATATGTTGTATTTAAGGACTCCATATAACTAACAGAAGAATTAAGGAATCAAATAGTATCAGTGGACAAGTGATTTGCAGCAACATATCCAAAAAAACGTAAAAGGGGACTTTACTGTGGTTTTAAGTGCCTCATATTAGCCCTTAATTGCCCGTTCTTCCTCTCAAAATGCTCTCAAATGGTCACACGTATGCAGCCACTGCCAGGGACGTCTTACTGTCTCCTTACTTATTTACGCCTGTTACTCCCAATGGAGCATAGGCCGCCGACCAGCATTCTCCAACCCACTCTGTCCTGGGCCTTCTTTTCTAGTTCCACCCAATTCTTGTTCATTCTTCTCATGTCTATTTCCATTTCTCGGCTTAATGTGTTCTTTGGTCTTCCTCTTTTCCTTTGGCCTTGAGGATTCCATGTGGGGGCTTGTCTTGTGATGCAGTTGGGAGCTTTCCTCAATGTGTGTCCTATCCACTTCCAGCGCTTCTTCCTGATTTCTTCCTTCACTAGGATCTGGTTTGTTCTCTCCAACAGTACGTTGTTGCTAACAGTGTCTGGCCAACTGATCCGAAGTATTTTGCGTAGACAACTGTTAATAAACACCTGTATTTTCTGGATGATGGCTTTCGTAGTTCTTCAGGTTTCTGCCCCATACAGTAGAACTGTCTTGACATTTGTATTGAAAATCCTGACCTTGGTGTTGGTTGACAGTTGCTTTGAGTTCCAGATGTTCCTCAGTTGTAAATATGCTGCTCTTGCTTTGCCGATCCGCGCCTTCACATCTGCATCAGATCCACCCTGTTCATAAATGATGCTGCCCAAATATGTAAAGGTTTTTACATCTTCCAAATCTTCTCCGTCAATTGTGATTGGATTGGTGCACTCTGTGTTGTATCGGAGAATCCTGCTTTTCCCTTTGTGTATATTGAGACCTACTGCTGCTGAGGTTGCTGCCACACTGTTCGTCTTCTCCTGAATTTGTTGTTGCGTTTGGGATAGAAGGGCCAGATCATCTGCGAAGTCTAGATCGTCTACCTGCATCCTAGATGTCCATTGTATCCCGTGCTTCCCTTCAGATGTTGACGTCTTCATGATCCAGTCGATCACCAGGAGAAAGAGAAAGGGTGAGAGTAAGCAACCTTGCCTAACACCGGTCTTCACTTCGAACGACATTGTCAACTGTCCTCCATGCACGATTTTGCAGTGTAATCCATCATATGAACTCTGTATGATATTGACTATCTTCTGAGGTACGCCGTAGTGTCGAAGAAGTTTCCATATTGTTGTTCTGTCCACGCTATCAAATGCCTTTTCGTAGTCAATGAAGTTGATGTAGAGTGATGAATTCCATTCAATTGATTGTTCCACAATGATCCGTAGAGTTGCGATTTGGTCTGTACACGATCTATCCTTACGGAATCCTGCCTGTTGGTCACGAAGTTGGGCGCTTACGCAGTCCTTCATCCTGTTTAACAATACCCTGTTGAAGACTTCTCCCGGTATTGAGAGAAGAGTGATGCCCCTGTAGTTATCACAGTTGCTAAGATCGCTTTTCTTCGGTATTTTGATCTGGAGTCCTTCTTTCCAGTCTTTTGGTACTTGTTCCTCATCCCAAAATCTTATTGAAGAGAATGTGGAGTATCCTTGCAGTTGCCGCTACGTCTGCTTTTAGTGCCTTTGCTGGGATGTTGTCCGGTCCTGCTGCTTTGCCACTCTTGATTTGTCTGATGGCCACGCTGATTTCTTCAATTGTTGGTGGGCCAACATTGATTGGGAGGTCCGTGGGTGCTGCTTCGATGTTGGGTGGGTTCAGTGGAGCTGGTCGATTCAACAGTTCTTTGAAGTGTTCTACCCACCTGTTTCGTTGCTGTTCAACATTGGTGATTAACATGCCTTCCTTGCTTTTCACTGGTCGTTCTGGTTTGCGGCGATTTCCAGAGAGTTTCTTTGTCGTCCCATACAACTGTCTCATGTTTCCTTCTCTTGCATCCTTTTCCGCCGTCGTTGCTAAATCTTCCACATATCTACGTTTGTCGGTTCTGATGCTCCTCTTCACTTGCATGTTTACTTCTGTGTATTCAGCTTGTGCCTTGGCTTTTTCTGCTCTTGTTCGGCTGGTATTGATTGCTGCCTTCTTGTTCCTCCTTTCTTGAATCTTATCCAGTGTATCAGCAGTGATCCATTCCTTGTGATGGTGCTTCTTGTAGTCCAGGACCTCATGACGTGTTGAAGTGATTGCCTCTTTGATCCCCTTCCAGTTGCTCTCCACAGTAGTTTCTTCTCCATTTAGTAGATCATGAAAGGCCTGGAACTTGTTGCTGAGGCCTATCTTGAATTTGTTGAGTTTGTTAGTATCCTGAAGAAAGGCCGTATTGAACTTTTGTGATATTGTCCGCCCCATTGTCCAGTGCTTCTTGAGTTTCAATTTCATCTTGGCGACCAGCAAGTGATGATCTGATGCTATATCAGCTCCTCTCTTGGTTCTCACGTCTTCCATAGTCCTCCTGAACTTTTTGTTGATGCAGATATGGTCGATTTGGTTTTGCGTAGTGTGATCCGGTGAAGTCCATGTGATTTTTCGAATGCGTTTATGTGGGAATATGGTGCCGCCTATGACCAGTTTATTGAAGGCACATAGGTTTGCAAATCTCTCGCCATTTTCGTTCCTTTCTCCCAGTCCGTGTCGTCCCATGGTGTCTTCCTATCCAGTGTTGTCCGTTTCAACCTTGGCATTGAAATCTCCCATCAGAATGGTCAGGTCCTTTGTTGGGCACTTCTCGATGATTGTAGAATTGATCTTTAACGTCTTCATTGTAATCGTTGGTAGGCGCATAGCATTGGATGATGTTCATTGAAATGCCCTCTTTCTTTTTTGAAGGAGGCTTTGATGATTCTTGGTCCATGAGATTCCCATGCTATAAGTGCGTTTTGTGCTTGTTTGGACAGCATCAATGCAAGTCCTTGTGTATGTGGAGCATTTTCTTCTTCATGGCCGGAGTATAACAGAATTTCTCCTGAAGTTAGTCGTTGTTGTCCAACTTGCGTCCTATGTGTTTCACTGATCCCAAGCACCTTTAGATTGTATCTTCTCATTTCTGCAGCAATTTGGAAGGCTCTCTCGGTGTCCCACATTGTACGAACATTCTATGTACCTAAATAAATGGTCGCTCTGGTTGTCAGAAGGGGCACTTACTGTCTCCTAGCGGGATTGTTTACGAAGTCGAAAAGATGAAAAGTGAATGTCCGGCGCTTCAACTGCACTAGTGGATTGAAGGACCCACCTAGGGGATTCGGAAAAACCTGATTTCAAACCAACAATTCTCGTCGGCTCTAGGATCGTGAGGGAACAAATGGCGTTTCTCAAGTATTACTCTTAAAGTTCCCATACGTAATAGTCATTGATTTCCTGAATCGACGTCATATAACTGTCTTGATACTAATATTCTTTTTCAACTTATTGCAAAACCAGACAAAAACATACGGACAATAATAGAATATTCGTGACAGCATGATTCACATTTCCATCATCATTGTCCCAAGATTTATCACTGGGTGGCCCCACTGAAATTGAGGTTTTAAAAACACAACCGTTAATCGCTTTTTTGGACGCTTAAACTATGCCACACTTGACATGTGTCGGTATAAATCAAATAAGGATTTCTTGTTCACAGCGAGCTTTGATTGGCCACCCAGTCAACAGAGATAATTTAACTCTTAAAGTACGTAAATTGGTCGAAACTAATTTTTAATGTGACTCATTTACCAAATATAGGTTCATGTATTTGGATTCAAATTGTACTTTAAGAAGGAACAGTGGTGATTCGGCTCAGATGATTATACCAAAGTCAGTGAAGTTTGGCTCGGACATCCTATCGCTTAAGACACTAGCCCTGTTACTAATAAGCTATGACCTTACTACCGACCTCGCATCAACACTTTTTTACTTCACTCCATGTGGTTGTGTATTGTTGTAATGCTAACTAATAATATCGCACTTCACATGCAAAAAATAACAAACTAATTCAGATATTACATTGATATTCAAAATGCTCAAAAGACACTTTAAGTTGCCAACGTCTTCATCTAACACAGTACAACCAGTGTATACTATACAAGTGGACTATATCTCTCAAGAAAAGGCTAATATCTGTGAAATTAATTGATGTAATTTTACAATAAGTTTAGATAAAACAAGGACGTTTTACATTCCTAATACATAACACTTGATATTATACTAACTTAGGTATTGAGTGTTAAGTGACGATCGAAAATGCATTCATAGTTCTTTTGACCTAGTTATTATTTCCTTAGCAGTTTTAACGCTTCTGATGTTTTATCCTTAAACAACGATAAAATTCCTATAACTTTTTTACTTTGATATCGTCATTGGTTGATCATCGAACTAGTCGGGACAGATAATAGCTTGTAAGTAAATTGTTTCCATAACACTTCTAAATTTTCTAAAAAGCGAAATGCACATATAGGTTATACCAAAATATAGTTTATAAATAATTAATAGCTCTCTATATTTCGAGATTTTCTTTAAACCAAAGATTCGTTCTTCACTGGACTCTACCTAAAAGTTTGGCGGCGTACTACCAAGAATCAGGTAGAGCTGGAAGAGATGGATTACAAGCTTCTTGTCGAATTTATTACTTTAAGAAGGAACGTGATACTGTTGTTTTTCTATCAAACCAACAACCAAACGTAAGTAAATTATTTGTCGAATCATACATTATTTTCAGAGTGGTTCTCAAAAGTCACTTAATAACACTCAGTGTCGAAAAATTGATATTAATACGATGGTAAAATATGTTGAGACAGCAAAGTGAGTCCAGCTAATTTCCATATATTATTGTGTTGACTGTTACATGTTGGTTCTCTCTCTGTTTATTTATGCATTTTGTGATCGTGAGTTAATGTTTATTCAAGTTACTATTAAGAGTAGATGACTTCATAGTCAGTTAATTTCTTCTTAAGTCATAGTTTCCAGATTTCATTCACAACATTATGACGTCTGTACTACTATCTGGTTCAATCCAGTAGTCATTGTTTTACTAGAACAAATCAGCCGACCATCTTACAGATTTTTACATTATAAGGAAATATTCGATTGTTCCAAGGGATCTAGTGATGTGACTGTCATCTTTTTTTGCCAGATGGCTGGATGTGATTGAGCCAAATCACACCTAACGGACGTTTTGTACCTGTCAATACAGTAGTGAGGCCTATCTGGAACCTTAGTGTAAGAGATACCCTTCATGTTTGATTTTGCTTCATCGAGCACTAGAGTTTAAGACAGCAATACCAAGGTATTGATGCCGCAACCTATGTCTCGTAAGAATGAAATAAGTCCTAATCTGTTACTGGTTAGTATGTAACATAGTTCTGCCTTCTGAGTTTTGATCGGCAGGCTGTAATCATATATATATATATATATATATATATATATATATATATATATATATATATATATAGTTGAAAGGATTGAAGCGACTGAACTGGTGGTTCATGCATAATATCGATTCTCAGACCCTACAGACGTATGGATTTCAAAAGACAAAGGCGTTGACCAGCAACGCAGTTGAACATAAAATATTTTGAGCTAAGGCAGTATGAATTCTAGTTACTTATCAGGCAGGTAATTCAGCCGAACGGCTTCAATTAACTTACGATTATAAACAAGAAGTGTGTGAAAAATCTTTTCATCAGCGCACTGATGATCCTTTTGATGAGATTGTACTGTGTTCAAAACATTAAAATCTCATAGTGATGACACTATCGACCGTAACTGGATCTGTGTTCGAATTAGTTAAGTGTGCAAAGTACTGGCTACAATCCCATTTCCCAATTCAATTGATTAATATTCATCTTCTTCCCCATTTACACGCCAAAGTTGTAGGCACCAACAGATGGGAATTTATTTCAAAGATGAACAAGCTCCATGTGGGAATCATTGTGATGTTTGTGTCAATGCATCACGAGTGTGTATGAATCTAGCATTATTCCGTGCTCTTGAATTTAGTAAGTATTTATTTTCAATTTGTATTGAATATAATTGGTTTATTTAGACTTTCGAATTTGTAAACTGAGTGTCTACATATAACTTTACTCATTAGACGTTGTTGAAGATAGTCATGCCACAGGACCTGATAAGTATCGATAAATAGGGTACGCTTTGCACTAATCTTTTGATGACTGTTTCCTCAAAACTGTCACAATTCCACTCGGTAACTGCAGACATCTAGCAGATTAACATCAGTCGAATTTTCATCTAATATTAAGGCACAAAACGTAGTTGTTTCCAAGGTCCAATTCATAAATCTTTCATAAGACTGGACATAGAATTCTCTAACTACGCATTGGTTCTGTTAGTTCTTAATCCAATCAACGCTATTTCAGTTGTGTATCTGACAAATGAAAAGTCTCGATATTTCACACAAACTTCACAGTTTTAACTTTAATTTTGTTATTCATATGTTATAAAGTGTGATTATTTATCTTCTTGATTGGATGTTTTTCTCTAATCAAAAAATTTTAATAATTTGAAACCAGCGTCAGTTTTATTCATAGTTAGTTTTTCTACTGAACTAAATACATCATTTTTTGTATCAATTTGTGTTCATATGCGATAATTTTTTAATCTTTCATTTTATACACTATTAAACCTCATAAAGAGTTCCGGTATTTCTATTGTAATATGATGCTGATACCCAACTTGTTTTCACTACGTTTATTAACTAAGCCGAAAATTCAGAGCAATTCATTCCACACTCTGAAATTATGCGTTACAATCATTCGATCTTTTTTCCACTTTGATTTGTTAGCTACTAAAATTGGTTACCAAAATAATGATAATAATGATGATGATAATGACAATATTGGAAATTACAATGATATTAATAAGTTTGATGATGATAATGGTGGTGATTCGGAAAAATTTTCAGCTGATCAACAACGTGAAGAGTATGATAAATTAGAAAGACAAAAGCTAATCACTAGTGAATTTAATAAACGTCGACGTAACACAGATAAACTTATACAGGTTAGTAAAAATTTAATAAATAATTTTTTTATAATAAAGTGCTTGTGTTCGTTCTGCTTTTTCAGTGATTAATTAAAACATTTGTTAGCATTAGCAATAGAATTCACTCAATCTTTAATTTAATTTAATAATTAAATTAATAATGACTCAATTCAATATTTTATTTAAATAAGGCGAAAAGAACAAGATTTACATAATAACATGGATTCAATATATTCCAAGGCTAATTTTATATCTTCATCTTTAATATATCAATACTAATCACTCTTAACTATTATGGTAAATATGTTGTTTCTTCTTCTTGTTTCTGATGTTTTTACGAACTAAACTTCATTGATTATGGTATGTAAAATTTTCTTAGAATAATGTCATTGATGTAAATTTATGCCGTTTGCAGTTGATGCGAAACGTTGAAATCAAACATATGTCTATTATTCTACAAATCTTGTTCTTCTCACTTTATTTAAATTTATCAAAGGTTTAAGATGTATGAAATATCTGGGCTACCTGTTTCTGCCATCTGATTATTTCAACAAGTTATCTGCTTTTTCATTTGTTTTAACTTATCATTATGTCCATTAATCGCATAACCTATTCAAGCGCTTTTATGAAAAGCCTACGACCTTTTGCTCCACAAGTTACAAAAAATTACTATAAAGGACATCGTGGTGGTTGACAATATGCTTTAAATAGAATGAACATTAATCATATTTCGATTCCCGAGCTTCTAAATTCCAACTGCCGATCACTAATCAACAAAGTGGACTATTTGCAATTCGTACTAAGTCAAAATATGTATCGTAATTGTGGTGTCATCACAATTCAAGAATCTTGGTTAAATGATTTACAGGACGACTGTTTAATATCACTACGTGATTTCGAAATTTATCGTCAGGATCGATCAAACAATAAAAAGAGGTGTGGCGGTGGTGTAGCTCCGTTTGTAAACGTAAACGTGTCGATCTTCGTTTGTGTTTTAAGTTTTCAAATGACTTTATCGACTGTCTAACTCTAAGATGTCGTCCAAAACATCTGAGTGAATACAAATATGTTTATGTTACCAATATCTACGTGACCCCAGACTGCACATCATCTGCGCTATCTGTTTTCGCTGATGAATCTACTGAGTTCGCTGTTACTGCTTTCAGTGATTCACTTTCACTTGTATGTGGTGATTTCAATTCATGTGACTGTATTTGTATTGATTATTTATTTCAACACATAAATATTGGTACAAGAGGGCACCAAATATATATGCGCCACACCATATTTGTGTGTGTGGGCTGTGATACTGCCCTGGTGCCCGAGCCTATGACCTAAAGGTCTAACCCACAAGGCAGTGGAGCATCGTGAGGAGATGCATTCCCATGGTAGCCGGTGACCAACAATTGGTTCATACGCTATTTGTTCCCACAGGATACTGGAGCCCATGTGCACCATTGGTTTGGGATCCGGTTACAGCACCGGACATTCGCTTTTCGTCCTCTCGTTTTCGTAAACAACACCCCCGCCACGGGAAGGCAGTGAGAAGGACTTTCCTGGCAGAGGCTGTATACGCGTGGCCGTGTGAGAGTATTTCGAGAGGAAGGGCGGGCCCACCCCACTCTCGGCCATACCAGGGCATTCGGGGGGATGTGACTGTAGCTTCCTTACGCCACTAGGTCACCAAAATGTAGTAGATTTTCCCACCCGTTTTGATGCTCATTTAGACTTCGTTTTCATTAATGATGTGCGTATGTATGTGACTCGTAAACGTGCTCCATTGTCTAGCTCGGATCACTGTATAATTCGTGTCTTACCTAAAGTATATAGGAAAGTATGGGAAGAGTACACTCTTACATCAAACTAAAAAGGTCAAATATAGGAATTACTCAGAAGAAAATATCCGAGATCTGCAAAACATGTTCCATACGACTAACTGGGAATTGTTTACAGATGACTCACTGGAAATCACTACTGATGTCATCACTTGTTATCTTAAATTCTGTTTTGATATTTGTTGTCCCACTGAAACCATTTTTGTAAGTTTTGATCGACTTACATCTTCACAACTAAAACGACTACGGAGGGTGAAAGAAAGAATGTACAAGGAGAAAAACTCTAATAAAGTTCGTAAGCTAAATGGTCTAATAAACCTAGAGATTAGACGTCTTAACTCTATATTTACTCAGAAACTCTTGTCTTGCAAAAACTCTCTAAGTATGTGGAAACTCTTTAAAGAACTTACAGGTGACAGACAGTTTAGGAGCGATAACCAGCTGAATGTTTGTGACTTAAATAAGTCTTTTGTACGTCAGTCATCTGATGTGATGCTCCCTCTATCCACGGGCTTAAATATTAGCTGTGTTCCTAGTTTCACTGAAACTGATGTCCGAAGATGTCTCCAATCGCTTAATTCATCCCGATGTTTGGGACCTGATAGTATCCCAAACCTCCTTTTTTGAAAATGTGCTGACGTTCTATGTTATCCATTCACGACTATATTTAACAGATCTTTCTCATCTAATCTCATACCGAAAATATGGAGAAAGATAAAGATAATACCTGTACCCAAGAAAGCATCTGGTGATAAAAATGTAAAACTTAGACTTATTGCAATAACTTCACCCTTCCTCAAAGCAATGGAAAAATTATTAATACTTTCACTTCAGCCTGCGATAAAAGAGCATATTGATCCGTATCAGTTTGCTTTCAGATGCAAAAGAAGCACCTTAGATGCTGTTGCTGTTCTGCATCACAATATAGTGTTCAACTTAGAAAAGGCTAAGAAGTATGTTCGATGCGCTTTTCTGGACTATACTTCAGCTTTTGATCCTATACCAAGACAACGTTTGATTAAAAAGTTAATCGGCGTCAACACTTACAGATGGATAAGCAACTGGCTATGTTCCTGCCTCTCTAGAAGGGAACAGTAAACTGTATTTAGAGGAAAGTGTTCAGAGTCTCTACTGTCTGATGAGGGTGCACGACAAGGAGCCTTTCTTTCACCTCTTCTTTTCTCTTTTTTTCTGCATGATCTGCTATCTTCCACAGTATACACTTTTGTGAAATATGCGGATGATCTCACTGTATGTATGCCTATCTCTTCCTCTTTACATCCCATAGAAATGAATGAGTTTTTGTCTTATATTGATTGTTGGTCTGTTGGTAATGGTCTCATACTTAATCCGTCTAAATGTCAAGCTGTTAACTTTAGCATGAGACATAAACGGCATCTAAACAGCATTTTGAGATCCCATAATGCTTGTACCATTGGGGACTCTTTGATAAACACAGTGTCGAAGGTCAATTTTATTGGTGTTACCTTTTCCTCTGATCTCTTTTGGTCTTCCCACGTTTTATTGTTATCAAAGAAGGTTTTCCGTCTGACTTACTACATAAAGAGATTGCATGCTCTTGGGATTACTCGTCATTTACTCTTACAATTTGTCAATTCTTGCATATTACCTATTATTCTTTACTGTTCTCCATTATTCTTTCCCGGGCTTTTGAGAAGAGACTTTGCTATATTGCGGAGAGTGCTGAAGGCAGTTAGCAAGATGTGTGATGAATCTTTCGAGGTCATAATTAATGTGGTTGTGGATAGACATCTAAAGTCATGCAAACTCTTGACAGGTGTTATTTTATCAGATACTAACCGTCCCCTTCACTCTTATCTTTCTCCTTGTATATCTTATGGTAGAACGAGACGTAATTACATTAAAATCCATGCACTCAAGCAAAGGTATAAAAGTTCTATAATACCTTACCTAGCAAATATACTGTGTGACGAACAGGTTGTTAGAGTTAACCTAGTCAACAACCTGCATTCTTAACATGTCCTTAATTTTAAAAGTTGTACAGTTTTTCGGTCTTATATTTTTGAACCTTTTTTTCCTTTTTTTCGTCTTTGGTACTGTTTTTTTGCGTAAGTGACTTGTTGAAATACCCTGTGCTAAGAATTCTATATTGTACCAAAATATAATATCGAATAAAGCCATTAATAATAATAATCTTATAAGCAAATAAATAAGATCATTTCAATCACGTGATATTTTATTGAATTTTTTTTAACAACCAATCTGTTGGATGGATAAGAATGGTGAAATGGAATTAAAGAGATGGTAATTCGACTAAGATTTAATCATTTCCATTGTGGAGGATAATAAATATGATCTGTCATAGGAATTTGAGGCTTATTTGAACTCTATATTCTGAGATATAAAGTGATAGAGAACAACCAAGTATCAAAACTTCCGAGAGAATGACACCCTCAGCCTATTCTAATATCCACTCAATCATAATGTAGGGGATAGCAAACATGTATATCACCTCTAGTTATTACACCATTTCAACACAGCGAAATAAAATTGATAAAATGAATAACGAAGGAATCAAAATAACAGTAGTATCAATTTTAATCTAAAAGGCTAAACATAAATAATATAATTTTAAAACTAGGCATTAAACCAGGATTAATCATGTTACTTAACATCTACAACCACCGATAGTAATTATCAAACGACCCTAACCAGATGGTCTGTACTAGGCAACGCAATTCAAACCAACAGTCAGTGATTTCATTAGCCTTCTTTCAGCTTACCCTTGCTTCATCTATCGATACACATTTATGTTGGTAGTGGTTAGGGACGCATAATAAACATCCAGGACATCTCGATCAATGAAGATTAATGGCCCATCAACTGATTTACCATGTTTCTTAGTAATCTATCCTTAACTTCAGCGTTGCTCACGTGGTCGTCCCACGATACGTGAAGCGTTTTTCAAAGGCACCTGTAAACAAATATTTCCAGTTCACCCATATCTCGTACTTTTATGGACTATATTTCACAGCCAGAGTGTAGTATATTCTGAACTGCTGCTCAGTGTACTCGTTCGTCTTTCGGCAGACAGACAAATCACAAACATCTTAGTTGGTGAATGTTCTCAGTTATACCAACCTATTGAGAAAGATAAACTATGACTTCAAAAGCAATGGACTTTGGACACTTCATATTATGCACTTATATTTCTTAGTGATGTTTGGTTTCCCGACTTATTTGTATGATCAAATTAATGGTGATCAGTGACCAAAACAGTTCTATGTATTCTATCATAGTGTACATTATATTCTTGACTACATTTTCTTTCATTTCTCGTTCTTGTTTATCTTTAGTCATCATGGGTTTCAGCTCCAGATACAACTGAAGTAATAAGTCCAGACAATCGTAATGTTACCGGAATCACTGGATGGTGTCGTGATCAAACTCTTCAGTTACTTACCAGTGCAATGAAAAAATTATTCCCAGAACATGAAGCATTACTAAATAAGTTATGTGCAGATGCAGAGTATGTGTTGTTTAAAGAATCAAAAGTAAGCTATTCTATACACAATTACATTCATATACTTTAAGTTAATTACACTATAGTTAATATGGAGTAATGTAACAAGATTATCATTTAATCTAATATTATTAGTCCGAAACACTTTAATTTCGTTTTAATTGTTCTTTTTAGTAAAGTTTTACAATACTATGTTCTTCATAAATATTTACTATAAGTATATTTTTAATAATTTGCTTCTGTTTAGTTGGCTGAAAATTGATTTCAATAATCTTGTTAATATGTGCATATATGTATATTGTAAACTCGATATATGTGTTGCAATTAATCCTCCTACCTAATGTCAATATGTATAATTGTCGTATGTTCTCTAGATTTATTGTATTTGTCTGAATATTTGTAAAAATGAAATAATTGGTTAAAACAAGTAGTGCGAAAAATCGAAAATCTATTTAGGGTCTTATTAGTAGTTCATCGGTTAATGTTTTCTTTTTTATCTATTCTATTCATTAATTCAACGCTTGATATTTAATTGACCTAATTGAAACGACATGGTAAACAGATTAATTGCAACTTACCCGTAATTATAATTGAAAACTAAAAGTGTAAATAAATATCATTTTTAAATGTATTCAAGTCAAGTTCATGTCATTTCGGTCAGACTTGTTTTTTATTGATCGCATATAATATTCTTGCGTTGTTCGTTTGTACTATTTAAACTTGGATTAATTTTGATTTGGTTATTTAGTCTCTGAAGAAGTGGCCTACACTGAGTCACGAAACGCCAAAAAATTTAATTTTTCTACTCATTGGGATATTACAAATATATTAATTTATTTATAACAATCTACCCAATGCTCAATTTATTCGAAATTATGAAGTCAAACCTCGATAATGATACCTACGTGCTCATGAAATGTTGATTTCTGCATTCGCTCTTCCTATATGCAAGCTTAGCTTACCATATGAGCAATAAGTATAAACATGAATAGGAATTTGTAACCGGCATCCGAATAAAGGTATACACAATTCATACGTTTATATATAATCTGTCTCTCAGTTATATAAGCTAAAACCTTGAAAAAGTGCATCATGAGCTTCACGCAACAGCGTGTCTTGTTTGTCATTTCTCATTACCATTGTAATTCACCTTTACCATCCATGACATTTTGGAAATAGTTCTTGTGGGATTGAGTAGTGTTGGTGTGACTCTGTTATCTGGAGAAAGACTATTTGATCTTGAGTATGTGGATGATATTATCTTACTGTACGGTGATGTACAAGCAATGGAAGTTTCACTTTTTAATCTTTGTCTTCACTTTTCACCTTCCAAGTGTAAAGTACTTTTACAAGATTGGTAGGACCGTATGCCGGCACCCACCCTTAGTGGTGAGTCTTAAGTAGTTTAGTAGCTTGTGCATCTGAGCGGTCGTGTTTGAAGTGCTGTGATTTGTAGGGTTGATCTACGTACAGTGAAAGCCAGAGAGGATTACGTCTATATAGGCAATATTTGGCGCCGTCATAATGTCATTCTGTCTGTAAAAGGTGAGGTCCACAACGCACCGTTGAGAGCAGTTTTTTGTATTCCTGTGGAACTATATCTGTCTGAATCGAGGATGTCTAGTGACCATGTTTGATAATCGTCGTCTCTAAAGGATTTCTGACATTCAGTGACGTCACCATATTAGTACTACCGAGACTCACCAGTTTGAGTTCTGTCAAAGTATCCATAACCCTTCTGGTATTTTTATCCTAAAACATTGGTTTCGATGTCTTGGACAAGTGTTATTAGTGTCATTTTCAGTATTATTTCTGTATTATTTACACGGCCGCGCGCATACAGCCTCTGCCAGGGAAGTCCTACTCATTGCCTTCTCGTGGCGGGGGTGTTTACAAAAATGAGAGGACGAAAAGCGAATGTCCGGCGCTTTAACCGGTTCACAAACCAATGGTGCACATGGGCTCCAGTATCCTGCGGGAACAAATGGCGTATGAACCAATCTTTGGTCACCGGCTACCATGAAATTGCATCTCCTTACGATGCTCCACTGCCTTGTGGGTTAGACCTTTAGGTCAAAGGCTCGGGGAGTGGCCCCCTAAGAAAACCACCTGCTTCGGTTTGGGCACCCGGGCAGTATCACAGCCCACACACAAATTGATGAACTCTTTATGCCTATGGAAATTACCTTTCTCGCTTTGAAAAACAAACAATTGATTCAGATTATTATCATTACAATTATTGTCATTATTAATACTATTATTATTATTACTACTATTATTGTAATTATTATTATTATTATTATTATTATTATTATTGTTATTATTATTTCCCACATTATTCACCCTCTTTCATACTTATACAGCGGCTCGGCTTTGGTGGAAATCCGACTGTATCTAAACGTTCTCGAGTCACTGTCCGGTTGAAAGTTGTATGTTACCATCGAATATGAGTATTGAAGCAGTTTTTCTGAAACCACGTGCGCCATTCAAACTGGCTGCCTTCAACGTTCGCACACTTATGCAGGTTGGTCAACAGATAGGGCTGGCTATGTCTTTGGAAAGTCTTATTATTGATGTTTGTTGTCTATCCGAGACCCGTATTCAAGACTCTGGTGAAGTACTACAAATTCGCTCTCCATCTGTCACTTCAAAAAGCTTGTTTTACGTGCGCTTATCCGGGGACCCTGTGGCATCTTCGTCTGGTCTTGCAGGCGTAGGTGTCGCACTAAGCGCTAGAGCTGAGGCAGCACTAGTCGATTGGATCCCCATTAACAGTCGGTTATGTGCTGTTAGATTAGAAAGTTCCATCAAAGTGAGGAGAAATCGGCGTGAGAAACGATGTCTTTTCGTCATCTCCGCCTATGCCCCGACAGATTGCAGCCCGGATGCAATCAAGGATGAGTTTTACCACCAGTTATCTGTTCTTCTCCAGAAAGTGCTTTCGACAGATATTGTAGTACTAGCCGGAGACTTGAATGCTCAGGTCGGGCGTCTAGGCACAGAAGAGAGTCGTTTAGGTGGCCGATGGGGACTCGTTGGTCGCAGGTCAGATAACGGGGACCGTCTACTGCAAGTATGCACAGGCCACAACCTGTTTCTGGCTAGCACTAACTTTCGGCACAGTCATCGCCGATGTGCCACCTGGCGTCCTCCCTCTGCATCCCAAGCCTGGACTCAGATTGATCACATCGCGATCAGCTACCGCTGGCGTGGTTGTGTAAAAGACTGCCGCTCCTTTTGGAGTACCTATCTGGACTCTGACCATGCCTTGGTCTGCGCCAATCTTACCTTACTTTTCAGTGGCCAACGAAGTGATCACCACCAACGGATTGATGTTAGCAAGCAGGTTGCAACTTCTGTTGCAAATAAGTATCGAACCGAGCTAGCCTCTAGGCTAGCTACCACTCCACCGAAAAGTATAGATGAGCATTGGTTGCAATTGCATGACGCCATGAAAATGGCAACATCAGTCAGACTGTCCTGCCCTCCATGGCCGGTGACGACTGATCCACCAAACGAGGAGGAAGTCCACAAGGAACTCCAACTCTTGAAGCGTTACAAATCACCTGGCCCAGATGACTTACCTCCGGCTCTTTTTAAAGATGGTGGTGACTTTTTGACTAAGGAATTGACGACGTTGTTTACAAAGGTTTGGGAACTAGAGAGTGTGCCAACGTCATGGAATGAGTCGATAGTTGTCCCTATCTTTAAAAAGGGTTCACGTCGTTCCTGTAACAACTATCGGGGGATAAGTCTACTTCCGATTACGTCCAAGCTATTGGCTTCCGTCATACTTCGTAGGTTGTTCAAAACCCGAGAAAGATTGACTCGCGAGCAGCAGGCTAGGTTTCGTTCTGGTCGAGGATGTATTGATCATATCTTCACCCTCCCCCAAATGTTAGAACACCGCCATACTTATCAAAGGCCAACAATCGTAGTGTTTCTTGACATCAGGGCTGCCTTCGATTCGTTGGACAGAACTGTTCTCTGGGATTGTCTATTGAAGAAGGGTGTGCCTGAGAAGTTTATTAACATCTTAAAAGCCCTATATACAAACACCTCAGGTAGAGTGAGTGCATACAACCACTTCTCTCCATTGTTCCATTCAAGCAGTGGGGTTAGGCAGGGTTGCCCAATCTCACCATTCCTCTTCAACTTTGCCATCGATGACATTCTGGAAACAGCTCTGATGAATGTAAGTAATGGTGGTGTGGATCTGTTGCCTGGAGAAAGACTTCTCGACCTTGAGTATGCGGACGATATTGTCTTACTGTGCGATAATGCCCAAGGCATGCAATCCGCACTTAATCAGTTGGCAATCAGTGTCCGTAGGTATGGTATGTACTTTGCTCCTTCGAAGTGCAAAGTACTTCTACAAGACTGGCAGGATTTTAATCCTGTACTCACCCTGGATGGTGAGTAGATAGACGTAGTCGAGAAGTTCGTGTATCTGTGTAGCTGTATAAGTGCTGGTGGAGATGTGGGTGATGAGATCAATGCACGAATAGTGAAAGCCAGAGCGGCTTATGCCAATCTGGGCCATCTATGGCGCCTTCGTGATGTTAGTCTGGCCGTAAAAGGTCGGATCTACAACGCGTCGGTGAGAGCAGTTTTGCTCTATGCTTGTGAAACCTGACCTCTCCGAGTTGAGGACGTTAGACGACTCTCTGTGTTCGATCATCGCTGTCTCCGAAGGATTGCTGACATTCAGTGGCAACACCATGTCAGTAATGCAGAGGTTCGGCATCGTGTGTTCGGGCACAGAGATGATAATTCAATTGGTGTCACCATCTTGAAACACCGACTTCGGTGGCTTGGACATGTTCTCCGAATGTCGTCCCAGAGAATTCCACGTCGTGCATTATTTGCCGACTCTGGGACTGGTTGGAAGAAGCGGAGAGGTGGTCAGTGCATGACATGGTGTCGTGGCATGAAAGAAAGCTGCAAAGGACTGGCTTGTGTTGGTCCTTCACGACTCCCTGGTTGGGGTCTGAGAGATGGTGCTACACAGTGGCTAGAGACGTTATCAGA